GGGTCTTTTGGATAAAAGCTGAGCCCCCAAAAGAGTAAAATTAACCCTTAAAAATTTACCAGTAGTAGCCAAACATGCTACCAAGTTTTAAATTTTAGCTAGTGTGGAATATCTAGTGTGCTAGTGCACTGAATTTACTAACTCATATTAAAAAAAAAAATATTTTTAGACACATGATGTTGATGCGCGCTGATGTGCGACTTCACAAGAAACACATTACACTGCATAACATTTGGTACAGCACTGTACCTCATTTAACTAATTAAAATTCTGTATTTACATAACGCATCTTGTTAAAAAATTGTGTAGACATCTGTGGGTCATATTCTGCATTATTTCATCTAAATAAGAAACAAAAACCTATGATTTCAATGAGAAAACTATGTTTATTAATGATATACTAGTAACAACTGTGGACATAGAGGGGATTCTGGTTGCTATAAGGCCTAACCAGTATGTATTCACCTTAGGTGAGTGGATGACTGTTACAAACAATCACATACCTTTTGATTTTAATTTCTCTTACTACAGTAAGAAATTTTATTAGATAATATAATCACATTTAAGAGCTTTTTTATTTTATTTTTTTTATTTAAGAAGAAAACAAATTAAAACTTGAGAAAAGTGTTTTGTTTTTTGATAATGATTTGAATGATATAGACAAGAGTTTTTAGCATACAGGTACTTTTAGCGTGCTTAATTAAACATTACATTTGACATGATAATTGTGTTATCAGATTAAATCCTGACGTACCCTAGTGAGTAACCTTATCCTGTGTATATTCATCAGCATTGAGCATCCATACACTGCATGCAAGATTTATATTTAGAATCAATGCCACATCACAGCTCCTTGCTGCAGACCAGTTTTATTAATTATTTAGTTGTGAACAAGTCTTTGTTAAAAAAATCATTATGGCTCTAATGAATCTGGATGGGATTACATATATCCATTTGGGTAGGTTATTGCATTCTGTATTTATGAGTTTACCTGACAATCAATCTCTTGGTCTTTGGCCTTTTGTCCAAAGGTTTACGTACCTGTATCTTTTGATAATAATGTAATACCAAACAATAGTTTGAATTTGTTTGATCTGCACATGCACATTGTTTGATACAGTTTTGCATGTGATTATAGGATCTCGATCTCTCTCTCTCTTTCAAACTTTTCCAATATTGATAAAGAGCATAATAGATGTGTGAAACTGCAACATCATTAGTACTTTATTTCAAAAGAATTTCTTCAGTGGCTAAATATATTTCATTTCATTTATTAAATACTCAAGTATTCGATTGTTTGTTATAATATTGCATATACATGTAATTTTTAAAGCTTTCACTATTTTAAGCAAATGCTTAGATCATCAAAGTGATTGAAAGCATCATTGCATAATGAGTTTTTAAAATCTATTCTAGAAATCTGTTTCCATGTGTGCATTTCTGTGAACTAAAATGCCATTTTTTTTAAATTGGGGTAGGGTTGGGGAGATATAATAAAACCAAGTTAACGAAGATTAAAAGATGCATTTTTATTACAGAAACATATAGTTATATTTTGTACTTTTGTTTTTGTAAGATTATACTATTCAACTTTTATTCATTATCAGTTAATTCATCTCCTCTATGATATAATATTTTCACTTCAAGAGTATTAATTTTAATACTGCTCCTAATACAAGATAGTTTATCTCAAAAGGACTTTAAAAGTTTGGATTATTTTACTATAAGAATATATCATATTGCTATCTTAGACAATGCTTATCAATCTTAAGTCACACCTGATTCTACAGGTAAAAACAGATTATTTCAGCTTGGACAAAATTCTACAAGAAAGGCATTTTGGGTCTTATGGATTTACTAATCTGCACAAACAACCCAATAGACCTGATCCATAGAACCACTCAAATGGCTAAACAGAGAATATTACTGATATAGATATTTCAAGTAGTGGGCAACTTAAGATGTCTTTTGACAATATCCCCTCCCTCAGATAGAGGTTGGGTTGACAAGAATTTGGAGGTCACATTTTCTACGTGAGATTTTGGTTTTTCCAGAGTATTTACCTTGGACTATTTCATTTATGCCATGTGGAAGAATGCTTGGTTAAATGGTTTTTGGAGTACACATGTACTGCTGAATTAAAGAGGTTGCATCATAATGTCATGCAATAAGAATTTTCTTTTTTTTAAATGGATAAAGAAATCCATTGCTAGGACAAGATCAATTATGCATTACAATCTGTATAGGAAACTGTGTATTCAACTTTTTAAAAAGCTGCCATTGCAATTCCCTTGCTCAATAAATAACTGTTGATAACTGAAGTACACTGTAAAAAACAAATTATAATAATTACTAGTATTCTCTCTCCATCTCAGCAATAGTTTTATTTTCTACTTCCCTCCATTTATCCACAAATAAAACATTTCTTTTCTTATCCCAAATAACATGACAAAATAGTTAAACAACAGTGTGTATTAGACATTAGTCATGTACTTAGCTCATGCAATTCTGATGTTAATTTTTTGTGGTATCTCCTTCCCTGTCATATACAATTAATAAATTGAAATAGTCTTCTGATGATCATGTTATAACGATTGCTTTAACTTAAAAAGTGATGTAGAAAATAAATATATTATCAAGACCTATGATATACAATACAGATATATTATCCACTTTATAGATATATTTTTTGAAAACGATTAAATCTGTGTATTCTTGGCTTCAGTTCAAAACTACAATGAAAAACATATGATAAATAACTTGTAAACAAAACAAAATTGTGTTCGATATCCAAGTTATTCATATCCAGAGTTTTAAGCTAATTTTAGCTGAGTAAACTCAGATGACCAAAAAAAAAAAAGAAAGACACAAGACTTGATTAAAATATGCATATGAGGGATAATGCTACAGTACTCTTAGCAGCCCATGGAGCCCAAGCACAGACATACTACTCTGTACTCAATAAAATGTGATCAGTCTTGAAAAAAATTTGTGATGGTTTGGGCTGTTGTGATGTCGACCATGGTGGCTCAATGGCTATATGACATGACTAGTGATGCAGGGGTTCTAGGCTTGATTCCAGGTCCAGCCATACATTTACTCCTTTCCTATTACATAATTTGGTGAATCGACTGGGAATCGAACCCAGGACCCTGCATCAGTAGTCATGCGCTTTAACCACTGAACTACCCAGGCCAATATCCACGGGCCCCAAACCATTAGATATACATCTTAATGGGTAAATAGGTAAAAACATTATGTTTAACAATGTATCTTTATTATAGAAATAAATAAAAATTTAATTTAAGCAAGCAGCTATATTAAGGTGAAAATTTCTAATTCTTGGATGAGCATATCTTTGGAATTGTGAACAGTGTTCTGAGTGAAAAAATCATTAAATAGAAGATATAAATAATGACTCAGAAAAAAATTACTTTTCTCTGTAACATTGGACACATTCATTGATTGCTTGATCACAATACAAATTTGTGAGTCTTCATGACAGATTGTTTTGCATCATACCTTTTTTTTGATTGTAGGTATATAATACATTTTGTTTAAAGCTGGCTTTAGAGTGCATAGAGGTCAGGATTTCCTTATTATCAGTTTTCGTGGTTTTTGAATAAAATGTCTGAGCAGATATATAACATTAACCCCAACCAAAGAAATGTAAATTATATAGTTTTTATTCATATTTTTTAAAAGAGAAATTTGATGTCTCAAAATAATGTCATAATTCTGAGACCAAGTTTTACTGATTTAAGGTGAACATTTCAATAAGATTTCTTATTAAAATTGGGGTAAGGATGTGTGGAGGGGATAGCTGATCTTGCAGAGTATTATAAAATTGATTTTTTTTTTTTTTTTTTTTTTTACGGTCTATTTAAGGAATGGGAAGGGGCACTTTTTGATTAACTTAGTACACTTTTTCAATTTATTCACTTCAAAGAAAGAGAGAAAGAGAGCTAGGGAAAAAAATTCAGATCCTGTTTCATCTCTGTAGGGTCCTGCGGTGGAAGTCAAACAGAAGTCTCTGACAGTAGCTTGGTATTAATTCAAGAATCAACAAAATTGATCAGTATAGACAAATATTTGTAGATAAAGGCATCTACTGTAACAGTTTCAGGTGTGAATCCACTTGTTTCCGTGTCAATCATGTTTGCATTCCTTAGGTTACCACATACACACACAAATATTTCTCAAGTCCTTTATCAGGCACCCACTGATAACAATAGATAATAATTATTACAACCTAGTAAAGAAATAAAACACACAAGGTACTCTATAAGGAATTGATTATTAAAAGAAAAATTAAAAATGCAAATGATTAATTTTTTTTTTTTAAGAATTCCATTTTATTTTGAATATGCTGGGTTTTCCTGGACACCCAAGATTTTTGCTGCTGTTTTGGTAATTATATAAAATAACCATTTTTCCCATCATTTCTTATCTCTTTTGTGGAGGGTTAAGATAAACAATTAAGCAATAGTCCATTCAGGTTTTACCAGGTCTGGGGGGGAGGTGTGTCTTGAAGAGAATTGTTGACATCATGTGACTAATTCAGTACTCGGACACTATCATGGGCTGCAACTATAAAACTCAGGAGAAATGTAGAATTCATTTTTCTACTTTCGGTCCTTGTCTGAGAGGTAGCCCTAATAGTAACTGTGTAGTACTCTTTAGCATTATTTTAATGGTTTATTCTATGACAATGAGAGATTGTGATAGCTTTCTCTACAGCTATCTAGAGGCAGCCACACAACAACAGTATTATTATGAATATGACCCAGGTAAAAGGAAATGAAGCCAACTTGTACATTTTATTTATTTATTTTTTTTTTTTTTTTTTTTTGGCCATTCTAAAACTTGGAAAAGAGATGCAGAGTTTTTAATGAAATTGAGTCAAGCTTTAAGAGTTTTTGTGTGTTTGTTTTTTTTTTTTTGTTTCCCATATTTTAAAGATTTTGTCAAAATTTTTGAAAGAGTCTTTCTTTTTTAAGATTCCCCAGAGATGACAATGGGGGCTCTAGGCCCTATGCCTTCAGCTGGGAGTACCTCCCCTACTCAAGGCATGAGCCAGTACTGTGCCATCTGTGGTGATCGGGCCACGGGCAAACACTACGGAGCTTCCAGCTGTGACGGATGTAAAGGATTCTTCAGACGGAGTGTGAGGAAGAACCACGTCTACTCGTGTCGCTTCAGCAGAAACTGTGTCGTAGACAAAGACAAAAGAAATCAGTGTCGATACTGTCGTCTCAGAAAGTGTTTCCGGGCAGGAATGAAAAAAGAAGGTAAGAAATCTCTGAGGTATACTTCTGTTCAAATATGTATTTTTCTTTTAAAGAGTAAATGTTTGGCTCATTTCAGTATTTTGTTTAATGATGTGTTTAAGTATGTATGAAATAAATTGTCATCATGATTCGGAAATTAAAACAATATAAACCCCCTTTTACTTTGTGCATTTTGAGATGGAAGTAGGTGAAAATTTTTCTGATCTTTTTTTCTTTTTGCTAAATTCTAGCAATTGAAACCAATATTTTTTCTGAATTATTTGATCACAGTCTACTTTTTATTTTTAGTTCATTTTATTGCAAATAATATTCATGTAAAGAAAAAAGTTAATATTGTGACAAAGAAGACATTTTTGACATTTTCACAGCTGTCCAGAATGAGCGAGATAGAATCAGTGTGAGGAGAACCAGTTATGAGGATGTGAACCAGACAAATTCCCTGTCCGTCAGTACGCTGTTAAATGCAGAAATTCTTTCCAGACAGGTTAGTGTTATTTCTATTCCTTATCATTTGAAAAATTTCAACAATATGTAAACACTACTTTGAAAAAACTGTATGCAAAAGAAATTATTTTAAGAAGTAGGAAATTCTTAGGGTAAAGTGAGATGGCCATTTTGAATTACAAAATTATTAATGTAAATTTTTCTTACTTAAAAAGAAAAAAAAAAACAAAGATAGCATTAATTTGTGGTTTAAAGCATAATTTAAAATATTTTGGAATAAATTAGACTGTTAGACACTGAAAAGCAGTTCTAAAATTTATATTCATTTCTAATGTTTACAATCACAGATCACTCCTTCACCTCTGAGTGTGGACCTGTCCCAGAAGTTAGTAGCCACAGCTAATGATGTTTGTGAGTCCATGAAACAGCAGCTCCTTATTCTGGTAGAGTGGGCTAAATACATTCCCTGCTTCTGTGAACTGGCTCTGGATGATCAGGTAATAGAATGTTAAACCAATCAGATATATTCCAGACACCACTACTTCCATGGAAATTCTTTATTAATAGACAATATTTGATACAGTTGAATTAACTGAAAGGGACTTACAGTTTACATCGTATTAGGCAAGATTTCAGAATACAGAACATTTGGATCAGACAAGTTTAACTGTAACTTTATCAAAATATTGACATCTTGATCTTGTCAAGATGTATTGATTCTTGGTACATACTCTACGATAGTGCCCAATAACATTTTTTTTAAAATTATTTTAACAGGTTGCACTGCTGAGAGCACATGCTGGGGAGCATTTAATTATGGGTGTGGCCAGACGTTCCCTTGGGGTCAAGGATGTTTTATTGTTAGGCAATGATGCCATCATTCCCAGGAATACACCAGAAGTAGAAATAGGCCGTGTTGCCAGCAGAATTCTGGATGAACTAGTCCAACCAATGAAAGATGTCCAGATGGATGATTCTGAATTTGCTTGCTTAAAAGCCATTGTTTTCTTTGATCCAGGTGAGTACATGTATTAGCTGATTGACAGTAAATTCTTCGAAGTTAAATGCCAGACAATCATTCATTACAACAAGAACTTATTTGCATAAAATCTGAGTTCTGAGCACTTTTTTTTTTGGGGGGGGGGGGGGGAGTATGTTTATTTGGTTGTTTTTTTTTTGTTTTTTTGTTTTATTTTGTTTTTGTTTTTTTGTTTTGTTCTGTTTTACCTTTTTTTGTCTTTGGTTTTTTTTCCATTTCTTTTTTGTTTATATTTTTATTCATCTAGTTATATTAATAAAAGAAAATTTTTGACTTACAAGGCTAAAGTGTCTTTTTTTTTTAACTTTTCATAAAGCTGTATTTGTTGACAGATGCCAAAGGACTGAGTGATCCACAGAAAATCAAAAGCTTCCGCTATCAGGTTCAAGTGAATCTGGAAGACTACATCAATGACCGACAGTACGACACCAGGGGGCGCTTTGGGGAGATCCTTCTGATGTTGCCCCCACTACAGAGTATCACCTGGCAGATGATTGAACAGGTGCAGTTTGCCAAACTGTTTGGGATGGCAAGGATTGATAATCTTCTGCAAGAAATGTTACTTGGAGGCAAGTGAAAATTTCTTTTTGAATAGACATAGATGGACATTTTGCATGCCTTGGCATAAAAAAATAAAGACATGTATGATGTAATCTAAAGAAGGAAATATGTCAAAAAGAGTTCAGCAATCCATGCAAATCTTTAATTTTTAAAGCTTGAAGAATTTTGGGTGGATATTGTACTATCTATTAATATGTACTCTACTGTTGTACTTTTTTTTTAATGTGGTTCAAACAGTTTTTGATATTTTTATCTTTTGTATTTTTTACTGTTGCTTTATAAGATTTGCAATGTGGTGGGTAGAAAATATTTTTTGGAATCAGTAACCTAACTAACCTTCTGTTAAACAGGAGCAGCTCCTGAAAATGGTAGCACGGGATCAACAACACCAACAACATTACAGCCATCCCTGATGGTCAACAACTTCAGCGACCAGATCTCCAATAGTGCAGATGTACTCTCCATTGCCACAGCCACTATCCCATCGCCCCATACCTGCATTTCTCCCAACAACAGCCATGGTTCTCCCATGGGGAGCCCCTTGAATTTAGGAATGCACCACAGCATACAGACGCCAACCCCACCCCTGTCAACGGCTGACCATCTTCTGACGGCTTCAGCAATGACATCAAATATTGACCACCTGGCCATACAACAGCACAACGAATCACCAATCTCGTCCCCACCACTGTCTACAGAATCATACAGTAAAGTCAATGGGTCTTCATATTCATTCAAACAAGAAGTGTCTTCATAATGCCAACTGGCTTTGTGATTCATATATAAATATATGTGAAGTCATTTATTTTTAACTTGGATGTTCATACACGATGTGTACTTTGTATGTCTTCATTTGTAACCAGACATATTCCAGTTTGAATAAGTTTAATTTGACCAATATTTTGTATAAGTATGTTCATTGGAGTCCTTTTGGTGGCAATCATTTTGATAAAATCTGTTATGCATTGTCTGAGTCAGAAGAAGCAGGCTTACATGTAGCAGTATATGTTTTTTTTTTTTTCAGAGACATCTAGTCATGTTAAATTTATTCAGCATATTTAACATTTGATATTTAAAATCTGGTTTTCGGTTGATCTCATTTCAAAGTTTCGGAGTCATTTGCAGCATACATGTAGGAACTTATACTTGTTCAAAGCTGTAAAAAAAATGTTATCCTTCAGAATACTTTGCTAGATTATTTTTTTTTATATGAAGGATTGAGGATATAAAGAAAGTGAATGAAGATTTTTAATTCTTACTTTAAATCAAGTGGGCTTGAACATTCTGAATTGTAGGAAAGCCTTCATTTTAACTGAATCTCTATGTAGATATACTTGTTGTAAATATGAGAAGTGATACCTAATCCACGTAAGATATATTAACACCTGTATTTATTTGTTACGGAGGTATTTTCATGCTAATGTTGAATTGTTTATGTGTTATACACGTAGTACATGTTATTGAATTCATTTAAGAAAACCATTGGTATATAATGCACAGTGCAGAATCAAATATTTTTCATCACAGAAAGCAACCCCCCCCCCTTCCCAGCCTTTTTTAATAAGAGCTTTGTTACTTGATATGCAGATATAAAAACCTGTGATAATTGTTGTGATTTTAATGCTTTCACAATCATCCAGGATATTGATATACTGTGAAACAGCAACCAATATGTTTACATTTACAGCAACCAATACATTCACATTTACAGCACCTAGGATGTTTACATTTACAGCAACAAAGATGTTCACATTTACACCAACCAATACATTCACATTTACAGCACCTAGGATGTTTACATTTACAGCAACAAAGATGTTCACATTTACACCAACCAATACATTCACATTTACAGCACCTAGGATGTTTACATTTACAGCAACAAAGATGTTCACATTTACACCAACCAATACAAACACATTTACAGCAATCAATACAATCACATTTACAGCAATCAATACATTCACATTTACAGCAACCAATATATTCACATTTATAGCAACCAATACATTCACATTTTCGGCAACAGACATTCACATTTACAGCAACCAATACATTCACATTTACAGCAACCAACATATTCACTTTTCAGCAACCAATATGTTCACATTTACACACCTTCATAAAAATGATGCTATCCATTTTGTGCTAGTGTATTCATTGTACACTCTAATACCATTGATAGTCACTGAACTTTTACATAGAAAAAGTAACTTTCACATGTATGACTTAGTGCCAGTTTCATTACATTTTCATAGAAAGTTGTAGTCACCCATAATCAATTTAGCCATTTGTACAAAATTGAAGCTGAATTTTGCTAATTTGAGAGGCTTGGTAAATATTGTTGAAAGTTAAAAACATTAACACAGATTGATGGAAATAGCCATTTTAATGGCGTATCATAGATTTGTACATAATTTTTTGATTACCTGTGATTTTTAGCTTGGCAGGAATTTTATTCTTTGCAAAGGACCAAGTGCCATGAACAATGCAAAAATTGTGTATAATATATAATTATAGACACTCTAGAAATATCCAATCATTGATTAATGTGCTGTTAACTGATGCAAATATCTATATTTTTATATAAAATTGTATTTTTGACTGATGGATCAAATGCTGTTTTTATAAAATAAATTTAAGCTTAAACTGAAAACCTTTTCTTTTAGTGATATCATTTCATCATAAAGAAATCTTACCGAAAATAAAATTTAACTCTGAGGACATGAGACTCAAGCCTCACGATGGGAATAATTTGAATACTGGTATTTGATAATGATTCAGTTTTTTTCTTAAGTTTCTTTACTCACAGACATCTATGGAGAAAGCCAAGGGAAAAAAATTTATGGAAATGTTTCCGAAGTACAAATGAGGCCACTGGATTGCAGTACCAGTACATTTATTTGGAAGGACAAAAATCCCTATTATAGCAGGGTTTTCAAAAAGATTAGAAACAGGCTGTACTTTTACAAAAATGGGAGCCACCTTGTAGAAGCAATTTAAATTACACTTAAATACATTATCAAATTTTTCTCCATCAAATATTTTGGTCGGTACAATCATGATTTCAGCTGGGTAAAAGTACCAGGTAAGGGCGTATGTTGAAAGGCCTGAATATAGTTTTCTGTACTTTCAGAGAGTTCTCATCTCTCACATATAAAAGGATCATATGGATTCTTACAATCCAATGACCAACACTGACAACTTTATGTTGGAGATACATGCACTGACAACTGTAATGTCGGAGAGATGTCAATGCTTGAGTGTTCATTTCAACTATAATATTCATGTACCTTACCATCATGATAATAAACATATTGAATTTCCAGGATATGTAATTTGTCAATTTTAAAAAGAAAAGATGTTTTAGCTCACCTGAGCTGAAATCTCTAGTGCACTTTTCTGATCAACCCTAATCCTGCATCCATCCGTCTGTCTGTCTGACCATCCATCTGTAAACTTTTCACATTTTTGATTTTTCAAGAAAAATTTAACTACGTTGACACAAAGCATCCTCAAGTAAAGGAGATCCTAAAATTTTCAAATTAATGGCAAAGCCCCCCCCCCCTTTCAAAAGGGAGATACTCAAGAAAAGGCAAAAATAGGGTGGGGTCACAATTTTTCATGGGGGATATGAAAAAAAATTAAAAAAAAAAAAAACTTCTGAAGAGTTATCCAGGTGAGCATTGTGGCCCGTGGGTCATTGTTAATTCACAAAGGGAAAGTCTGACTTTGCATAAAAAGAATGATTTAGGCTTGTAGCTTAAATTGTATCAAAATCAAATTCAATTGAAAGGAACTCTACTCTATGAATGTTTTGAATATGTGCAACATTTTATAGAGAGTAGAGGTCTTCTTCCTATATGAAGTCGCATTGTTGCTGTATATTCAGTCACAACTAGGCTTACCAGTTTACAGAATAAAATTGAACAGGTAACTTGCTTGTGAAGGAGCTGTATGTTGATTTTAGTAGTAGACAGTCCCCATCTCCCTGGACACATATTTTGCACTTCTTTATTGTGTACATAATGTAGCAAATCGGGTCATGTTAAGTGGTGCACAGATTTCCTTGAAAACCTCAAAACAAAATTCTTAACATCAGTCTAACAGGTCAAGAGCACCACAACTTGATTTGAAATGTACTGGCAGAATTAACTTGATTTGAAATGTACTGGCAGAATTTACAAAACTTATAATTGTATGACAGTGTTGTTTTTTATGAACAGAGGAAATCAGACATGCACTTGTTGCAAGTAAAAACACACAAGGTTTTAACACAAAATATGAATTATTAGTTTTATTTATTCAAATTATCAACATTTTTCATCAATGATAACAACAAAATCACAGAAAATTCTACAATATCAGTAAATATTCTTGATACTTGTTTATTATTCCTAGTTGCTGATTTTTTTCCCTCTTTAATTTGGAAACATATTTCATTAAATAGTGAAAGTAAAATCAATGTTATTTAGTTAGTTAGTTTGTTTTTTTAGCCAATTTAAATGAATGATTTTCATTACTGGTAGTACAGTCAAACCTCATTATCTCAAACTCAATGGGACAGAGAAAAGACTTCGAGATATCCGAGGGTTCAAGATATCGAGGGTAAAATACTGAAGAAATACATAGTTGGGACTTCCCAATCACTTCAACATATCCATGGTATTCGAGATATCCGTGTTCAAGATACTGCAGTTCAACTGTATTTTAAGCAATTCTTGAGTAGGGTTCAAGTAAAATGTTATAAGCCTAAGGTAAGGTCAATCATATAGTACACCATAATACAGTCTAACCTTAATACTTGATGTGACGGATTAAAAAATCAAGATATCCAAAGATTCATGATATTGAGTGTAAAATACAAATTAGTGGTTGGGATTTCCAAATCACTTTGACATATCCTATTCGAGATATCTGTGTTCGAGATACAGAAGTTCAACTGTTCTTATCCATCTAACTGCATTATGAATGAAAGTACACACTTTAAGCACAAAATAAACATACCATAAAAATAATTACAGTAAGAGACTGTTGAAAAAAGTTCATCAAAACTTGAAGAGCTTCACATAATAATTTTCAGCATGTATCAAAAACCAATCACAAGCGGATTCTAAATGACCATTGCTAATTGACACGTGGACAGCTTTCAGTTCTTTATTGATTAATATGGGAACTTCAATCTTACACCCAAACACCAGTTGAAATTCACTGTAAATCTTCTCCTCCATTATATAATTAGTTGTGAAAATGAAACTAGTGCCAATAAGGTTACCAATTAACACACATACATATTAACAAGAAACAAGTGAATATCTATCTGAGATTTTTTTTCAATGCCAAAAAATCATACATAATTAGTAAATGTATATATTTTAAACAGAAGAATTACATTTTCATTGTCCATGTGATTAAAAATAGGCAAATCAAAACAAATCACTACATTTAAAAAAATATAATGACAATATATCATAACAAAGGGACTGTATCCAAACAACAGGCTCTAACATACATAATAAGAAATGGCTACTGTTTGCAAACAAAATTAACCAAACTCATAAATAAACAAACGTATCTTTACAAGATCTTCATCATTACATATTTAAAAAAACAACCCTCAAAAGACTATACAAAGATACTCAGGCTTTCTCTATTCATACTGGCCATTGCTTTTTTTCCTGTGAACATGGTGAAATATATATGTACATGTATTTTACAACTGATCTACTCTGAAAGCTAATACAGGTGGATATTTTCATGTACCAATAATATCCCACATAAAAAGACATTGCCAGATTCAATATATTACACTGCACCAAGTCCATCCTTGAAACAGAATGTATGTATCAAACTATTGTATTGGTTACCTACATGATCTGTAGTTGCTAGTCTATGAATACATCGTTGTTTGTTAAATGTGAAAAAAAATATATCAGTTAAAATTTAATAAAATGTTTCAAAAATTAAAATACTGAAGTACTTCAAAGACAAAGATTAATAATTTTAAAACTTTTTACTGCAAATGATAAGTTTTTTAAGAGAATTAAGGGCAGATTATATCAAAAGCCACTAAAAATTATTAATGTGTGTTAGCCTAATTCTTTTTTTTTCCTGCAAATAATAGATATATATCTGTCTTGCAAATGGTAATGATGCATTGTGAAATAAGAAAGTTGTATAAGTCTTGCAGATTTTATAAAAAAAAGTTTTAGATTTCAATTAAATTGTAATATGTACTCTGGATCTCACATACACAACCCTCTTCAGATTATACTGACCATGATTATTTAAGGTTCATCACCCTCCTTACTCAAATAAAAATTTATTTTAAACACTTATAATTTTCCAAAAGAAATCTAATTTATAATTAAAATGCACATAATTTAAGCATATTTTGCCAGGCAAAATTTGACAGAAATGGCTTTTTAACATGACAATTTTTTGGAAGGAATAATAGTCATTTGTCCCAGTTAGAGTTATCTTACTTATCAGAGGGGCGATGAACCTTAATGGATTTCTATATACAAGCAAATACAAGAACATCCAAAAAAGTCCTTAGGTGGGTCTTTTCAGTGATGAAAATCATCTTTCTTAAATAGAAAAATATTTAAGATAAAAAAAATTATTGACGTATCTCATTTTCATGGATATTGGATTCTCCCCTTCTTAAAATTTCTTTTAAAAAGTTTAGTACCGGTAAATCACTCGTACTCAGTGTTATTGTTATCAAATGAAGGTAAGGTACACTTGAGAAAGGAAACCAGTGACAAGATAATTAAATAACAAAATTATATATACATAAATATACAAGTATACATGTACATGTATGTAACAAGCAGTATCTACGGTGATATGTACAAAGGATTGTACAGCTAAGCTATACTTAATAGAGGTAAAACTACTGTAGTACCTTCAATGCTTTGAGTAAGCTTCCCATAATGCGATCACCGCATAAGAAATGTTAACGAGTCCATTACGACATAAGATTTATCACAAATCACATTTATCAAGACTTCCATTGTGTACGAAACACACTGGTACTCCAAATCAGTCACATGATGAAAAGTTACTAAGACGATGATCTATTGTCAAGATTTTTTTTTCTTCAAAACTCTCCTGCTTGAGCAATGTTTATTAGGAACTAGTGGTAAAACAGTGGAAATTGATAACGGTCAATAGCATCACTCGAAGAGGCCTTGACGACTTCCACACAAGACCCGTTGTTTTGATACCCGTTCATGTTTGGTTGTTCGATTACATTTCCGTTTCTTGTCATCAAACACATTATAGTCCTCCTCTAATTCTTCGTCTGATTCCTCCTCATGGTGATAGTCCCACTTTTTTACAGTACCATCCCACTGTGGAAGGAAAGAATGGTACAATATGCAAGACATTCAAACTAAACAACACCAGTTATATTTGGATAATGCACTTGTGCACATGTATGAATATAAATTTCACAAAATATTAAATAACAAGCGAGAAAACTTTACATGCATATTTCACATATTGTGCATTTTGATATTGTGTTAAAAGAATTTTTAGATTGCAAAGGCATCAGTAACAAATAAGAGTAATTTTATTAACTGAAGATGCAGTAATGCATTTGCATTCCCACCCCCACCCAAACCCTACAATAAAAGAAATTTATGACAAATTTTTTTTTCTTGAAATCATATAAAAAGAATCAGGATGATTTATTTATAACAAGAGGCCCAAGGGCCTTAACCTGAGTACAATAAAACAATTTAGAGGATCCATAAACTGATAAATGAAGCTTTGTTGCCCAAAAGCAAGAAAAATAGTATGATTAGCATCAACAAAATAATTTGGTCTAGTATCTATCTGTCCCCCATTTACCACTATTACCATGCAGACTATTAACAAAATGTCTATTTTTTAACCCCATTTTATACTTCTCACATTGGCATCTCTTGGCCTTTGAAGATCATTTAAAATGATAAGTTATTTTTGTCTCGTTTTTATTCATCTATTATTTACAAGTCTATCTGATCATTAAAACTATGAAAGTACTTTTTGTATTATACAATAAATATTCCTGCATAATTCTCTTATTCTATTAACCTTTCAAAGACATTGTTTACAGTGATTGATTATCAAAGGTGAATGGTAAAGGGGAATAACTTTGCTCAGCAGAATACAAGTCAATAGAGCCCTGGCCAGGACAAGAACATTTGACTAAATGGTCCAGGTGTTCAAAATTCTGGTAAAAATACCTTTGCATATTTTAAAAAACTTTTACTCTGTTTGCATCGAATATGCCCAGAAGCATAGAGGATGTTCAAAGAAATGCATTTTCACTTTATTATTAAATAAATAAAGCCCCACCCTTACACCAGAACATCTGACCCAGGGGCCATGAACTCACAATTCTGGAAGAAGCACCCTTGCTCACCATAACTATACACTTGTTTCTTTGCTTTATAACCAGTAGTAGAAAAAAAAATATTTTGAAAGAAATTATTCATTTTCACTATATAATCAATAGAGTCCCCCCCCCCCCTCTCTTCACCAGAACCCCTGACCCAGTGGCCTTGAATTTCACAATTCTGGAAGAGGCATTCTTCCTTATCATAACCATCACTTCCTTTGTTTGAATAATACCCAAGAGCAGAGAAGAAGATTTTGAAAGAATTTATCCATTTTCCCTATATAATCAATAAAGCCCTGCCCTAACACCAGAACCCTTGACCCAGGGGCCATGAAATTCACAATTCTGGAAGAGGCAACCATGCTCATCATAACTATGAACTTAGTTTATTTAATATCAAGGAGCAAAAAAGACTTTCAGAGAATTAATGCAATTTTACTATATAATCAATAGAACCCCACCCTAACACCAGAACCCATGTCCCTGGGGCCATGAAATTCACAAATTTGGAAGAGGCACTCTTGATCATCATAATTATGTACTTAGTTACTTTATTTAATACCCAGGAGCAGAGAAGAAGATTTTCAAAGGAATAATGCACTTTCACTATATGATCTATATAGCCCCACCCTAGCACCAGAACCCCTGACCCTCGGGCCATGAATTTCACAATTTTGGTAGAGGGCTCAATGCTTATAACAATCATGTCAACAGTTTGGCTGCTTGATGTCCAGGAGTAAAGAAGAAGATTTTTCAAGATTGCATTAATTTTGATGGTTTTAGCCCCACCCCACAGGCCCCAGGGGGGCAGGGGCCATGAATTTCACGATTTTTACTCCCCTTCACCCATAGATGCTATATACCAAAATTGGTTGAAATTGGTTCAGTGGTTCCAGAGAAGAAGCTAAAAATGTTCAAAAGTTTACGACTGATTGACGACGAACGACGTACGACGAATGACGACAGACAAAAACAGATAGCAATAGGTCACCTGAGTGACTCAGGTGATCTAAAAATGCCCCAAACTTACAGAGGAGGTCATTACGATGTTCTCATATGGATGCCAGGAAACATCTCTAGTACAGGAGGAATGACCTTTCAGTTTGGAGATCACTTTTCCAGTCAACAAGTCATAAACTGAAATAACAACATACATGTATGTACATTTACATTTTTCTACATATGAAGATCTACTACATAATAAGTAATTTCTGAGATTTGGAACTTTTCAGGATTTATCCATTAAATGAATTGTGATTCCTTTCCAGGCTGTGATAAAGACTGGGGATCAGAATATTTTCTTTTATTTGAACTGAACTACAGAATACATAAAAAAGTACATACAAGGAATTGCAGAAATTACCTGTCATACCATTTAGCAGGATTTTCTAGTAGGATGCTAACTTTGGCTTATTTTACAGTTTCATAGTAGCCTGCTAAAATTTTAATTGCTAAATTTGCACCCTTGCCTATATGTACCAAATGCAAGAAAGATAACTTTTATCAGTTTCAAACTTCCCCTTTCTGCACTGACTGGTATTTGAGTCTCCATTGAACTCTTTACAACAGTAATTCATAATTTGATCTAGTTTGATGTAAAATTATTGTTTTTTGGGTTTCTCTTCTTTAAATGGTATAAGTTTAAAGGTTTAAGGTTACTAGTTTGCAACATCATGGAACTCCATGTCTGTCGAAAAAATTTGGAATGCCTTTGAGCAAGCAAAACACCAAATTTAACACCCACTAACAAATCCTGCTATACAGTAAAATTTTCATGTGTCTACAAACTACATAACTGTATCATTTTCATAAATTCTTTTTCACCATCCCTTCCATTTTGTTACACATGTAATTGTTATCATAAAGTTATTAAGTTCATCTGTAATGACCAGTGTCTCTGCCTATCTGTACCTATTTTTCTTTTACTTTCAGATAAAAACTCCTGCTGCACAAAAAGGTATACATTTTACAAACTAGAAATATATGTCCATGGAATATGAATGCCCTCCCAGTGATAAATTTGTATTATAATATGAAAAGAAATGTACCATGTTTCTTGGTTCTGAGCTAATAGTGAAATATGATGAAAGAAGGAATATTTTAATATCAATTCATTATAGGTCTACCTACAGTGTAATAAAATTTACTTTCAGTACAGCATATTCATATATACAAAGTAGGTATGGGTTGAAATGCTCTCACAGAGATTTATGTATGAAGTAATTCTTTATGTTATTTAGTATGATAAACTAACAGCAAAATGAGGGAAAAGTGAAGTTCACAGTCATAAGGAAGGTCAAGGTCAGAAATTATGACAATTGAACTACTTTCACCAATTTGTATCTGTGTATGAAATAAGAGATGAAATTATTTTGAACAGTTTCTTTAAAACACAGGTCAATGAAACCAAGGTCAATGAAAAACAAGGAATAGTGAATCAAGGTCACAGGGAAGATAAATATACAATATAAATACAAATATAAATACTTACTGACAAGTGCTCCTGTGGCACAGCCGGTATAGATGTACCTCTGACCAGTGCTGAATTCTGGGGAGAAGTGACACCTTATCAGTGTATGTAGAATGGAATGGCCTCTGTACGTCATCACTGAGGAATCACCATTTATCCTTCTCTTCTTACACACTACAATACAAGCAGTTTTAACTTCAACTATCTTAAAATTCAGCATCAGCTACACACTTTGTAAAGCATTGTTAGCTAATTCAATTTTCAGGGTCTTGTGTATGATAGAAACCCAAACACTACTACCATTTTCTCATCTAAGTTTTTCTCCCCTCTCACCTGATTTACGGACAGGTTGCCATCTGTAGTCCCAGCTCTGTCTTGCCACAGCTTTCTTTGTACCCTGAAATCAGAAAAAAAACATTTTTTTTTTTGAAAATTTTAACATACAACATTTGGGGAAAGAGACAAATCGACAAACATCTTCCATTACAGCTAAAGGAATGAAATGGAAGGTATAAATCACTTAAAGCTCACTAGTGTTTGTCTAAATGCATCTTTATAATTAATGTGCAGTTCTGCATCTTAATTTCTCTGCAAAAGAAACTGGGCCAAATGCATTATCATTTAATGGGAGGACAAGGTCAAAAATAAGGGGTTAAGTTCATTCATTAATCAATATTTGTTTTCTTGGAAGTGTTTTGTGGCATGATGCAATTTTACAAGAAGTTAAACTAGAACTGTGGTAACTACTCTAAAACCCCTGTGGGCACACCAAAACATGCATATTTAGAATTTATACAGTGGCAGTCTGCCTTAACAAATGAACACATATAAGAAGACATTGGGAAAAGGAAATGCCCATAAACATAGTTGGGCATTAATAAACATAGGTAATCAGAGATTACAGAGCTCACCTCAATGAATGTTTTCTTTAAGTAAGGCAAAGTCTCATATTAATAATCTAGTAGTGTGCATTCCTAGGTGTAACATTTATGCAATTTTGGTCTGATAGAGCTTGCAGTTACTTTGGAATGGACTTACCTAAAAACTTTAAACTAGTCACTCATCCAGAAAATGTAAGTCATATCCAGCATCTGAAGCAACTTTGAGAGTGTTCATCCAGTGATGCATCATCCATGCAAGTTTGGTTCTGATAGCTCTTATAGTTTACTTTAACCTGGTCACTCATCTGGAAAATGTAGGTCAGATACAGTATCTGAAGCCAGCATGCAAGTGAGGATCTTTAGATGTATCATCCATGCAAGTTTGGTCAACATAGGGCTTATAGTTACTTGGAATTGAGACCTGCTCCAAAAACTTAAAACTGGTCACTCATCCGGAAAATGTAGGTCAGATCCAGCATTCAAAGCAATTCCAGTAGTATGCACCCTTAGATGTATCCACCAAGCAAGTTTGGCCAACATAGGGCTTATAGTTACTTGGAAATGAGACCTGCTCCAAAAACTTTAACCTGGTCACTCATCCGGAAAATGTAGGTCAGATCCAGCATCCGAAGCAAGTCCAGTAGTGTGCATCCTTAAATGCATCATCCATGCAAGTTTGGTCAATATAGGGCTGATAGTTACTTAGAAACGAGACCTGCTCCAAAAACTTTAACCTGGTCACTCATCTGGAAAATGTAGGTCAGATCCAGAATCCGAAACAAGTCCAGTAGTGTGCATCCTTAGATGCATCATCCATGCAAGTTTGATCAATATAGGGCTTATAGTTACTTAGAAATGAGACCTGCTCCAAAAACTTTAACCTGGTCACTCATCCGGAAAATGTAGGTCAGATCCAGCATTCGAAGCAAGTCCAGTAGTGTGCATCCTTAGATGTATCATCCATGCAAGTTTGGTCAATATAGGGTTTATAGTTACTTGGAAATGAGACCTGCTCCAAAAACTTTAACCTGCTCCTAGAACATTAACCTGGTCATTCTTCAGCTGAAATTGCAGCATCTGAAACCTTGACTAGTACAATGAAACATACTAAAAGCATCCTCCATGCATCTCTGATTAATATAGGGCACAGAAGTACTTGAAAAGAAATCTGCTCCAAAAACTTTAACCTGGGACGCCAATGCCTATGCCAACACCAACGCCCAGGGTATTACATAAGCTCCCCCAACTTCGTTGAGGTGAGCTAAAAATGTTGGCATTAATGTACACAGAGTGGTTACTTTCCAGGTAAAGGTCTTTGAAAATCAATTTTATTGAGAAGGAAGTAAAAATATATATAATAGGTGATCAATCTCTAGGGTAGTATCCATTGGAGGAAGAACAAATTCTAGAGAATGTCATTTTTGACAGATTAAAAATCATTAATAAAGTTAAAAAAACAAACAAACAAACAAATTAAAAAACCAAAAAAAAAACATTTAAATGGTCGGTAGTGGGATGGAAAGGATTAAACTTAAGCTGTATTTTCACTTCAATCTACATGTACATTCAGTACAAAATCTGATTACTGTATTCAGTTGGTCATATTTCAGGACAAAGGTCATATGTTCTATAAATAAATCTTTTTATCTGCTATACTGACCATTTCTGATCATGGATTAATAAAGGGAATATAAGGTTGCATTATGGAACAAGGCAATGTAACCTGTACTTAAAATAGGTCAAATTACAGAACAAGAAAATCAGATTACATTCTTTCACATATAGTCTGCCTATACAATGAAAGTTTAGCCATCAAAAGCAGAAAAGAACTTTCATGCCCTAAATCCTGCTTTCCCCATTTTTATTGAATATAAATCTTGGTTTAAAAAAAAAACCTCAATGAAAATACCACCATACCTCTATTCCTTCCTTTGGTGAGAATTTCCTCACATCCCAGAGTTTGATTGACTGGTCTTTGGAGTTAGACAACAGGTACCTGGCATCCCCCTATCAAAGTCATATGGAAACTAGAAATATGTCCGTAGGACATGAATGCCCCGCCAAGGGTATATTAGTAATGCAACATTTTAACACAAATTGAGAAAAGTGAGGTCAAGGTCAAAGGAAAGGTCAAGGTCAAAAAATATTGCTGCAGTTGAATAGCTTACATCAGTATGTATCAGCATATGACGTTTGATTCAGAAACTAATTTAAGAAAAGTGAGGTCAAGATCAAAGGAAAGGTCAAGATCAAAAAATGTTGATGTAGTTGAAAAGGTTACATCAGTATGTATTAGCATATGAAGTTTGATGAAAATATTATGAATGGTTTCTTTAAAACTGAGCTAAACACTAATTTAAGAAAAGTGAGGTCAAGGTCAAAGGAAAGGTCAAGGTCAAAAAATATTGATGCAGTTGAATAGCTCTCATCAGTATGTATCAGCATATGAAGTTTGACACTAATTTAAGAAAAGTGAGGTCAAGGTCAAAGGAAAGGTCAAGGTCAAAAAATGTTGATGCAGTTGAATAGCTCTCATCAGTATGTATTAGCATATGAAGTTTGATGAAAATATTATGAATGGTTTCTTTAAAACTGAGCTAAACACTTATTTAAGAAAAATGAGGTCAAGGTCAAAGGAAAGGTCAAGGTCAAAAAATTTTGATGCAGTTGAATAGCTCTCATCAGTATGTATCAGCATATGAAGTTTGACACTAATTTAAGAAAAGTGAGGTCAAGGTCAAAGGAAAGGTCAAGGTCAAAAAATGTTGATGCAGTTGAATAGCTCTCATCAGTATGTATCAGCATATGAAGTTTGATAACACTATCTTGAATGGTATCTTTAAAACTGAGCTAAAAACTTATTTAAGAAAAGTGAGGTCAAGGTCAAAGGAAAGGTCAAGGTAAAAAATATTGATGCAGTTGAATAGCTCTCATCAGTATGTATCAGCATATGAAGTTTGTTAAAAATATCTTGAATGGTTTCATTAAAACAGAGCTAAACATTAATTTAAGAAAAGTGAGGTCAAGGTCAAAATAAAGGTCAAGGTCAAAAAAATGTTGATGCAATTGAATAGCTTACATCAGTATGTATCAACATATGAAGTTTGATTACACTATCTTGAATGGTATCTTTAAAACTGAGCTAAACACTAATTTAAGAAAAGTGAGGTCAAGGTCAAAGGAAAGGTCAAGGTCAAAAAATGTTGATGCAGTTGCATAGCCCTCATCAATATCTATCAGCATATGAAGTTTGATAAAAATATCTTGGATATTTTCTTTGAAAGTGAGCTTTGAACAGAGCTAAACGCAAAGTGTGACGGAAGGACAGACGGAAGGACAGAAGGACGGAAGACGGACATGACAAACACTATATGCCCCGGCCATATTCATGGCGGGGCATAAAAAATTAGAGGGTGACTTTTCTCTCTCTCTCTCTCATTTGAATCAATGCAGATTATCATGGTAATACCTTAGAATCAATATAGGTAATTCCATCAAAATGACCACCAAAACTACCCACTGGTTTTGGGTTGTTCTCTCGTAAGGTTCGCCGATCCCATACCTACAAGTCATGATAATTTATTCTATTTAATTCACAACTTCAGCCATAGTTAACAAGAGCTGAAAGTCTAAGTCATCAATAGATAATCAATATTAAAGATTCACATGTCAGAATTAAGAAAGGTTTCTATTTATTAAACATCTACAGTTAAACTTCGTTATCTCGAAGTTGACGGGACCGTTGATGAACTTCGAGATATCCGAGGGTTCGAAATATCGAGGGTTATAATTCTAATGAACTTCAAATATACTTAGTGCAGTGAACATGCACTTAATAGTAGAAACATGTAAAATTCCTTTTTGTTTGAAATTTTGTATATGATTTCTTTAATATACAATCATGTATTTAGCATTAAAAAGATTTTTACATCCTCTTTATAATTCACAAAATAAAAACTTTGTATAATATGCACAGAAGTATAATCCTTCTACCAACCCGGCAAGTCAACCGCTAGCATCGTTTCCCATGTATACATAACTGGATATCATCTACACATTGTAAATTTAAAACCGGTCGCTGTCAGAATAATGCAAACGAAATATATATACATTTTTTTTATTGGAAAAACATGTTCATACATGTATAAACAGTTAAAAGAAAATATTTTACCGTAATAAAATCAAATGCAAAAGAAGAAACACGCACTTTTGTCTAACTACAGAACAACGCTGAATCATAGGGCACTATAGCACAACTCAAGTTTTCACTGCGACACACGCTCACATGATGGTGTGTACTGACGATTGTAAATTCTGCGCACTCATATAGGGAAAATAAATTCTTATTGCATAAATTACAGAATTTTGTTTCACATTTAATATATAGCATTAAATAGCGATATCAACATAAAGTACCCCAGCCACAAAACAATTAACGTGTCATCCATGCATATGCATAAGACTAATACACACAACCTTTGGCCTGCATAATTAAAATCAGGGTAAGCCATACTTACACATGGTATAATTATCGCGCTATTATCTATTGATCACAGGAACACAGGTAACCCGTGCGTGACAGACAGGTGGTTGTTATCAATAGAGCATTCAGTTTACCTAACGGACTTGATCATCAGAGTGGAAAATTATCCTGACTTCGAGATAACGCATGTGATTTTAATGAATGGGTACACAATTTTACTTCGAGATAACCTGGGTATTCGACATTACCGTGTTCGACATAGAGGGGTTTATTTTAATCATTTATAAAGCAAATTTCACGAGACCGTGGCCTTACTTCGACATATCCGGGGTATTCGATATATCTGTGTTCGAGATTTCGAATTTTAGCTGTACTTACTTTGACCAATCCATCATCACCACCACTGAACAAGATGTGGGAAGAGTTGTCAGCAAAGGCCACTGCATTCACATCATCATCGTGTGCATGAATCTGTGTAAGATTGTGGTACTTAATTACAACTTTTCTCAACTATAAATTACTGGACAAAACAGCACACAAAATGTCACTAAAAGGATTCCCCTGAAGGATTTGGAACTCTATATGCCTTTGTTATTTTTAGAAATAGGTTGCACCTTCTTCCTTCAGCCACACCCTGGGCACCATACTGTGATCTTAGCAACGTGATCTTTGATCAAGATCATAACAAGTCAAACATTATGACACAACATACATATATAAGAAAAATCCCAATTCAATTAAAGGTAACAAAGTTAAAACCCCGACAATTTTAAGAGCCAACATTTCACTGCACTTTAACCTTGACTTTTGACCTTGACTGAGAATCATTTTTCTGGCTAGCCTTTAGATAATGCCTGAAAAAATTCTTAAGTTTGCATTCTTAGTAATAGATAGTACTAATTGATGATTTCCATATTAATTTTATGACCTAGGCATCAGTGAATCCCCACCCCTAAGCCAAGTGACCCTTGAAAAATTACTTTGAATGTAATTCATAGAGCAAAAGTGACATATTCTGGAGTATGTCATTTCTGACATTAATTAAAAGCATCACTGTAAAAAAAAAATTAAAATGATGGGCAATGGGGGAGAAAAAATTCAACTTGAACTATATTTTCATTTTGACCTACATTTACATTCAGTACAGAATTAATCTGATTATAGGGTTAGTAGTGTATTTTAGGACAAAGGTCATACCGGTATATAAAAAAAAAACATTGTCTGCTACATTGAACTTTGTTGACCATTGATTTATAAACATACAGAGGTTATATTATAGAACAAGAATTCTAGACCTTCAGCACTTAAAATAGGTCAAATTACAGTACAAAAAAAAATCGTATCAAATTCTTTACAGGTACATATTTAATATTCAGTAATTTGCAAAGAACCTTGAGAGTTTAGCATAAAAATCAGCAGAGGAAATTCATATAATGTAGGTTTTAAAATTGCTGTCAATTTCTTTTTGAATAAATTGAAAAACTTATCTTATACATATACATAGTAAATATACACAAATACAGTTGAACTTTGGTATCTTGAACATTGATATCTCAAATACCATGCAAGTCATTTGTAAATCCCAACCACTTTTTCTTGAAGTATTTTACCCTCAATATCTCGAACCCTGGGATATCTTGAATTTTATCTTGGTCCCATTAAGTTCAAGATAACAAGGTTTGACTGTATATACACTTCAGAAAATGTACATACAAGTATATACATGTATCATTACCTTCAGAGTTCGTCTATTTTGCTCTCGGTCATAAACATACAGACAGCCGTCATTTGCTCTGAAATGATTAAAATGTTTGTGAACATAAATATTTCTCCAGATGACATAAGATGTATTGCTCTGAAATAATTAAAATGTGAACTTAAAAATTTCTCAAGATAAAATAAGATGTATCACAAAAAACAAAATCAGGCCAAATTTTGGGAACCCTCTGTATTTTGTAGGCTCAAAATTTCCACATGGTATACATTTACATCTTTACTACCAATGCACTTTAGAAACCTTAACAATTTTACAAGTATCCTTCCTTTAAGGCTAAAGGGCTTGTTTTAGATAACGGTGAAATGTTCAGACTACGAGCTCTAAAGTTTCCAATTACTCTGAAATCACTAATTTTCGTGGGGGTAAATTTTCGTTGTTTTCGTGTTAGGGAGTGATCATCGAATTCATATTAAACTTAAGATATAATTCATGTACATTTCTTCAACCACAAAATCAAATCTCCACAAACCTACATTTTTTTCCTCGAACCACAAAAATTTGACCCCATGAAAATCAGTTATTTTACAGTGTGCTCAGGAGACTTTTTTTTCTTGTTTTGCAATTTAAACAAAAAAAGGAAAGTCTGCTTCAGATTCTTACCCTCCTAATATTTCAGTGTTATCTGATGAAAATGTCATGGAGAAAATGGCAAAACTATGGTCTCCTGGCATTAAAGGCAGAGGAATGTGTGTGTCATAATCCCCATGAATGTTGCATAGATGAACTATGAAAATGAAAATATAATCAGTACATTAAAATTCACCTTTCACTTCTTATCAGTTTGAATATTAGTAGTTTAAAAGCTGAGTGTACGAAACTTGCTTTGATGAACAAGAATTACAAAAGAATTTTTTCTCAATTTTTTTTTTTTAAATTGGTTTTCATTAAAAATCAAATGTATGTCAATGGATTATCTAATATTTTTAAAAGAAAACATCACACAGAGTTGAACTAATATCATAACAATGTAAACTCACTAGCATCAGACCAACTTGAGTATATCAGGTAATTCCCATCAGGGCTGCAAAGGAGAAAACTTTTTGTGAGCCTTTTTGATTTTATAAAAATTACTTCTACCTGGTAAATACTGCACTTTTATTTAACAATACTATTAAAAAAAACATTTTGGGACATACCAGGTATACATAAGATAATATCACTTACTTCTTCATGTAACCTGGGAGTCTTAAAATGCATTTTGCATAAAGTAAACAATCACAAATAATTTTCCATTGATTAAAAAAATAGCAAACATCCTTTCAATAAAATAAATTCCAGTAAAACTTGTCTATTATCTCAATGTTATGTACTGGTATTCCAAAATCTTGCCTAATACAATCTAAACTTTAAATCTCTTTCAGTTAATTCAATTGTTTAAAATGTTGTCTAATCAGGAATGTTGTCTAATCCAGCCAATTTCTATGGGACCAGTGGTGTCTAAGATTAGACAAGTTTTACTGTATATCAATAAGTTACTGTGTATGATCTTCATATGTCATAAGCTGTTAGTAGCCATGTTACCTGAATGCTGTATCTAGGACACTCCAGCCCACATCTCTAGCTCGGATTGTTTTAATGAGATCAAATCGGCCTTCCCTTGTATCATATATCCTGATATTTTGATCTGTTTTGTATAAAAAAAAAAGTCAGTGTTTAGCAATCCGAATTTTCAATGGTTCCTCAATATTTAAGAAATTTTAAAAGAACATAAATCAGCATGCATGTACATTCAAATAAAATCCATGACTTGTAAAAGGAAAATTTTGTCATATGACACACCCCCTACCTTGCGAAGCTGACAGAAATATATTGCCATCCTTAGAGAAGGTGCCACAGAAAGCTTTGTTTCGGAAGTTGGCGACTGTTTTCATCTGATTTGGCAAATACCTGTGAAAAAAGAATATTCCACTGAATCCAATGAAGCAAAGTAAAATTAAAACTAAGTCCTCCGGTTGAAAATCCCAATCATTACCATGTTGAACAAAAATAAGAAATATGGTTGAATCAATTTTCATCAATTTAAAAAATGCAGCAGAAACTAAAGATGCCCTAATGGGTCTTATATACCCTACTAGAACACAATCAAGACATATATCTCACTAAGTATCCAATGCTCCATATTTGCAAGTTTGGTTTGGGTACACCTTGAGATGAGCCAAAAATTGACCTAAATGCCGAGTTTAACCTTGTGTCTATATACAAAAGGATGGACATATTGGCATCATGATTCAAAAATACCCCCCCCCCCCCTTAAAAACCTGTTTTTTGGGATGGATGGGTTATGTAATTAGTTAATGCAGCTTGTATTCACCTATACTGTTTTGGGACAGTGAGAATTCATTAATTTGATCTCTGACACATCCATTCATTTCCTATCAGACCATTCTTTACTTACTGACAATTAATAATCCTCTGATCCTCCAGTGTAAACTGCTGCTTCTTGTTTCTACCATGCTCTCGCTAGACAGAAATCAAACTAAGTAAGAATCACAAAACTTATCCCCTCCTTTACTGAATAACATTATGATGTACAGTCAAACCTCGTCATCTCAAACTTGATTGGACCAAGGAAATACTTCGAGATATGCAAAGATTCGAGATATCTAGGGTAAAATACTTAAGAAATAAGCGTTTGGGACTACCAATTCACTTGGACATATCCATGGTATTTGAGATATCAGTGTTCCAGATAGCGAAGTTCAACTGTATTAGGTTTAAGATGAGACAAAAATGCATAAAAAATCTCGAAACAGTATAAATGTTCAAACAGAAAAGCCGACATCATTTCATGAAAACTATCACTGAAAATATTAGCACCAAACATTGATGAAAGTCACATAAAAATTTCAATTACAGAAAATCATACTACTTGTAAAATAAAACTTCACATACACTTTGTAACATATGAAGAACTGTGGGCTTCATTTTTCTTCTGAAGGCTCGTCCTGATGCCTTCATTATCTCCTGCCTTAAGTCACTCATCTGAAAGGAGACATTGACCACTGTACAACTGTCACGTTTAAAATTAACAACATTTTCTCTTCAAGAATTTGATGAACCAATTTGATACTTACATCTATTTCTGCTGTGTCTGGGTGAGGGTCCTCTATAAAGGAAAAAAATCTGTCATGATGAAAAATGTACAGTAATAGTAAATCTGGCTTATAGTGAAGTGCCAGGGATGAACAATTTTGATTCATTACAAACGTAATTCCTTACACTATTAGTAACCTTTAGGGGAATAAAAATCACTTCATTGTATTGAATGAATTCATTATGAGTGTATTCGCTATAATCATGTATTACAGTAATAGTAAAATTTCCTAAATTTTACTTGTACATTGAGGGTTCATTAATACTTTTTAAATTGACCCATTCTTATTCAATGAATAAAAAAATATATAACTCAATTTTTAATTTGAAAAATTCCAAAACATAGGGAAAAATTTTTTTCCAGATTCCATCAATGTGATTATTCTTCACGGGGTCTATTACCATTTGTCTATACCTTGAATCATGCACTATAAAGTTTGTACATTTGGAGTGAAGGGGGACAATGATCCCCCCCCCCCCTCAAAAAAAATTAGATACATGTGTTTATAAAAAGTTAGCTTTATTAACAAGAGCCCAAGGAACTCAATAATTACCAAAATACATGTATAATATAACCCTATGAAGGATCCATAGAATTCAATAATTATACAATAAAGCTAAATAAACACATAGAGGAAGAAATTTTGTTCAAAAGAGGCCTAATGGGGGGGGGGGGGGGGGGAGGGGGGTCAAGGATTGTCAAAATAGTAAAGTTAGGAATGGTAACCTTAATTTTTTTTATAGATATTTTATTCCATTCAAGATATGATCTGTGGAAGGGGGGGGGGGGGTATTATAGGCAAGACATTAAACCTAACTTCCTAGAAAAAACTCAATATCAATGGAATGGAAGCTACTGTATGTGTACTTAAAAAGGTGGGCCTATATTTTAATGGCTTTGGCATGGACAAAAATGCACTAATTCATGAATACCGTTAATAAATCATTTATAAATACAATATAGGGCACACTCATGTGTACCGCTTATTTATGATTACGCCAACCACTCAATACCCACTGATTATGCTAAATTTTGAATACACCAATTTTAATATTTACACGTAAAGTAATTAAGAAAATATCCTAAGACAAAAACTTTGCTGAAATATTAATTTCCTTGCATGTGTGCATGCCACTGTTAACTGAATCAATTAAACACCCATTTATTGATACAACATGCACAAATTGTCACTATCACAAATCTTAACAACACAACAGTGTTTAAGCATGAATGCTCTATACTCTACATAGATTGTAATATTGATCATTCACTGCATCATTCACCAAGAACAAATCTCATTTATACCTCCTTTCTTTTTGCCTCTTTTAGAATATAAGGAAGCTCTAAACAGAATTAAATTCTTGGGACTTTAAGAAAAATTATACGGTATCATAAAAAGTGCACACATACTGAGTTTCATTACTTCATTTTCAACTGATGGTACATGCCACGTTTCCCAAGGACATATGTTCAAAGACAGTGAAGTGTTAGTGAACAGAAATCACTGTTGCTTGCTAGCATTGGGAAAAAAAATTAACACTTTAAATTGGTCTACTACAATGATTATAACAACTAAGTCAGTCAACCATACAATTCTTCTTCACTCTCCCAGCATTACAGTCCCCCTACAAATTTCCAATGAAGCATTTAAAGCCTACTTAATCAATATTTTAAGTACAAAGTATTAGTTATCTAATTCTAATGTTTATTTATTTATTACTAGCAAGTCTATATGACATTAAAAATATAAAAAGTATTTTTTGTATTATGGATTAAAATTTCTTGTATAATTCTTTTATTGAAATGACCTATCAAGCATGTTATTTACAGTGACTTATTTTCATAGGTGAATAAGTAAAGGGTAATAACTGAGGAAGGTGGATAGAACCTAAATGTCAAGAAGCTTAGCAAATTCTGAAAAACTGCTTTGATGGGAGAATACATGAATGGAAGTACACAAGGTTGGAATAACACAGACAGAAATTACGGGATTAAACTAATGTATTTCATATTGGGCATAATAAATTTATAAGGGCTGGGGGTTTGGGGTGGGATTATAACAGTATTCAATTTCTTCAAAGATTGCACCATTTCTTAGCTTTTAGGTGGAGAAGGGAGCAGAGGTCATGAATTTCAAAATTTTTGTAACCTTTCCCCTTCATATTTTACATACCAAACATTGTAATAAGTTTAGCCTGATAGTTTCAGAAAAGTTGAAAATGTTCAAAAGTCAACAAATGATGGATAACGAAAGATGACACTGATTGCAAGAGGTCACCTGAGTGATTCAAGTGACTTAATAAAAGAGAAAGTAACAATTTTAAAAAAAAAAACCTTAAAAAGATGCAACACCAACATTTTTGCATTTTTATTAACACATACACACTAGAATCAAAAAGTATTATATAAAGACACAATTTAATAAAAGGAAATTTGTGCTAAATTGCAACTCCACTCACAGGGCTAGAATTTTTTTTTTTACGGGTCACTTGGGCTATAACCTTAATTTTTTACTGGTCATCTCAGTACTTTCACTGTCCCACTGGGCCTGTAGATTTTAAAAGACTGACCCCAAACCATAAAATTAATAGTAATATTTTGTTTATATAGTTACTTATTACATGTAGTGCAACTTTCCAAAGCAAGAAATGGAAGAACTTGGACGCACAACCCTGTCAAGTTAACTAGCCTGACCATGGATGAATTTTGTTATGCATAAAAAAAAAAAAAAAACACTGGCCCAAAGGGCACATGCCCTCTACAATATACTAGCCCAGATGAAAAATCTACTGGCCCCAGACCAGCAGGCCATCAATTATTTCGAGCACTCAGCGGAAATGACACTGAAGTAAGTACACCCTGCTGGCCACAAAAAAAAATCACATATTGTCACAAAAGGGGTTTCATTGCTGCACCCACTTCTACAAACTTAGGATAAGACAAATATTATACAATAATTGTATTGTGAATTTCTACCTAGTGGAGGTTGAGCTGTGCCATAAAAATTGCATCCATCAGAATCACTGTCTTTTCCTTCTACATCATCTTCATCATTGGTGAGAATTCTAACTTGGCCACTACAAGAAAATCATAAATCATATTAAATTCGCATGTCACTTGCTTAATGAATCTTAACTACAATTTTCATTCATGATTTTTGCAATAAATTTTATTTCAAAAATATTAAAAATAAAACTCTTTTAGTATATATATTTACATATATATAATTATGTTATAAATCTAAGAAGTAATTCATAGAAACTGCTGACTGATACTTCTTCTTACAGGTTAATAAATATTTTATTGGAAAAATATATGACTAACAACACTCCCCCCCCCTCCTTGAGTTTAACATGAGTCACTGGAGCATAACATGTAGGTCAAATGCAACATCTGAAGCATGTATCACAATACTTATACATGTATAACGATGCAACACACATCTATAAGTTTGATATACATGTATCTTGAGGTTAACTGAAAAGTGACCTACATGATAAACTTAACTCAGTGATTGTGAAGGCCATGAAGTCAATGGAACTATGGCGCAACTGTCAAAATTTTTAATGGGCCATTTTAAAAATAAATGGGCCACCTATATATTCATTTTTAAGGAATAACAAAATAACAAACAAATATGAAAGAAAACGTTTTTTATCAATCATAGCTATTTTTTCATGTATGCAGTGCAGAACTTGCATGTTTACAATAATTTATGGGTATTTTTGGATCAATAATGTTAAAATATGGATTAAGCATTGGAAATAGTGAGGTAATGTACCTTTGTTGTCCTATATTAAATATTAAGTGCTTCATATAACAGGAAGCAGTTTTTGATGGGTTTTAATTAAAATGACTGCATTTAAAACAAAAGTAAAACAAGTAAGAAAGTCGTACGCAAAATGTTTCCAACTAACATTGCTAAAAATTGAATGGGCACCTTGGCGCTGCCAACAGTTGATTTAAAGCACCAATTTATACAGTGCTTCAATGAGTCCATGGTGCATGGCACAAGTCTTTCCCAATCACTGCTTAACTACATGTATGTGTCTACAGGCAAACAGATGCATGAACAGACAGACATGATGATTCCAGTAAATCTGCCCTAACACTTTTTTGCTGGGGGCAAAAATACATATATCTGATAAGCTAACAAATAAATTTCCTATGAAAAATGAACCAAATTGGTGTAACCTTGAGCCATTGAATACATTCTTTTAAACAGGGCACTATTTGGGACATACACATAGTGAAACAACACGCATATCAATGATATTTATAAGAAATTAAATCTCAAATGCATCCTATGAATTTTGCTTAACTGTTCTGAACATTGCTTAGTCTACTGCAACTTAATAAGTGAAATAGTTAACACTTCATTTTTCTTTTTATATGAAAATTCCATAAAAGACTTTTTAGAAAACGTGTGGTTTTGATCGAACCATAATGTTTGTAGGCTTTGAAGATGGACAAGCTACTAGGGCTGGGACGATACTGAACTTAGCCGATCCGATACATATCATGATACCTTAGGTGCGATACGATACATATCACGATACATTTAAAACCAAATAAAACTAGAAATTTTTTTTAGAACATTTAATTTGGAACATAACAATGTATGAAAATAAACTAATTCAACAAATGAACTGTGAATTCAAGTTTCTTGACTCAAATTACAGTCAATTATATTAAAATTAATCAGAAATCTTTAGTTAATTTAATATAATCCGGCGTGTCTGACGCCATTTTGACACTTATATCTTGAATTCTGTATCAGCAAGACGTTTGTACTTTATTTGTGTTTGTTTAAACGTCTTGATGATACAGACTAAAGGACTAAAAATTTCGAATTCTAAAGCCCGGACATTTTTGGAAATTAAAAAAAAAGTGCGGTCAGGTATCGTGATACTAAATTAGATGAATCGATCTGTAGATCGTCAAAGTGAATACTGTGATGCATCGGTGCACCGGTGGATCGTCCCACTCCTACAAGCTACAGCTAAAGAATAGAACAGTAACAATTCCTGCAAAGCCCAGTCACATGTCTGAGGTAACAGGGCCTTTAACAATTAAGACTTCTTATGAATATACACCTTGACCTACCTACGAATGAGGAAAGCTAGAATTGCCTGTAGATCGGGGGACTCTTCATGGTCACTTGTCGAAGGCTCAACTTCAGGTTCAGAGACATTCATCCTAGGTTGGCGTGACGAGTTATTGGCCCCCATATAATCATTACTGATATCCAGAGGAAAAACTAAACTAGAAAGAAAAAAATACACAAAAAATTACACTCTTAGTTTAAATTCCATTCACATTTAATAAAATCTTAAGTGCAAAATAAAAGTTTTTGAATGAAATCAAAAATATACTTATTATTCGAACAGTATTGATAATTTCGATGTTCTTTGTGTAACATACTTTTTTTAATATCTTTATATAATGCATACACTGTGGGATACTGTGTTCATTTTACGCAGTTACTCGGACAAAGATCATATATGTTCTTGGGAGAACAATGACCTCCTTATGCAACCCCAAGTTGTGACATAAAATGTGACAAAAATTAATAAGTTTACATGATTGGTGAAACAAAACAGAAAAATATAAACATTAAAAACTGTCATGGTTGCTGCATACACACAATATGCAACTGCAACCAGTTGTACAATAGTATAATAAAAAATATCTGGAGCATTGCCAAATTATTTTATATCTTTCAGAAAGGGAAAAAAATAAGAGAAAACTTACAGTATTTTATAAGCAAGTAAAAATCCAATACACAACTTAGTGCTATTTTATTCAAACACAATATAGCATTATATAGGTCACATCAGCTGTTTTCACCCAGTCGACCAAGGTTGTTCTGAATACTGCTCCTTTATTAACAGGGCAATGAATATATGTCAAAATATGGAACTGCTGTGTTGTCTTAAGTACTTAATCATATTTTCACTGTATAATCCTGAATAACTCTAAATACATTTTCTCAAACATCTCAGTTGTTGAAGGCACCTTATCATGATAATTGGTTGATAGAGTAGTACTGCAGTTACATAACAACATTCATGTAATTCAATCTGTGTAAGCTCTAATGTGTGTGGTATTTATAACTACCGATATCAGGAATGTGATTGATATCACAACCAACATTAAACTTTGCAAACATTAATTTATAATCATTGGAATTACTTAATGAACACTCTGATCAAGTTTATAGGTAACATACATCTTATATAATTTTCTGACAATGGGTTTTTTGCTTTTTTCAATTAGACCTATATATCTGACTGTAACTGTAAAAATTTGTAAAATTAGTCCAATAGATTTATAAACATAGCAACATAAATACCAAGTGCATGGAAATCTCTACACTTTACGTCTCTTTCTTCCTTAATTTGATGCGTCATTGTTACTAGCTTTATTACAAAACTTAGTCGTCTTACAGTTGAGTGAACCTAAAAGGTTGTGACCTAGTTCTTGGAAAAGAAATTTGCAATGATTGTTGCTCAGTTAATCTAATGCATTATTTGGTATGATCTTTAAAGCATCACTTTGGGCTGTCAACACATATTAAAAAGAGAAGGTCAGAATATGTGACAATAACCTAACTAACCTCCGTCATTTTTCCATTTTTAACAACACTTGTTAACTCGATCCACAAATAGTCGTATTCAGCACAGCGTGACCGAGACTCGCAGATTGCTTTGCTCACATGATGGTATCACTTTTATTTTGTTAATGCGCGGATCTAGAGGGGGGGGGGGGCTGGGGGTCCGAACCCCCCAGAATTTGCAGAGTTATTAAATGTATATACTGAAGCAAAGAAAAATGGCTTTCCTCCTTTAGAAAAACTTTTAGAAAAACCCCACCAACATCGCCACGAACTAGGTTTTTTCACGTTTGGGAATGGAATTTTTTTTTTCTTGGACTTGTTAAGAAATTTTCTGGGTTTGATACGATTTGGAAAAGAGTTTATGGTTTTTCTTTTTATTTCTTGGATCTGCGCCTGCAGTTGGTTACTTAGCAAGTCAAAATGTGTAATTGAATTCAAGATCGAGAAAATGACTGGAGTTAGAAAATAATACACCCTCATGACGTTTTCATACTCATGTATTACATACAGTCCGATACACTTTTACGAGATGTACGTGAAAAATGGAGGAAGCGAACAGTAATCAATCTCAAGAGTCCATCGAAACAATGCAAATCGGGAGCAGAGTAAACACGGACCTCTAAAAGCATCAGAGGTGGGATCAGGTGCAATGGAGGACAAAGCACCCCTGTTGACTGGCCACACCCCGTGTGCTCCTTGTTATGATCGGGCAAACGGAAAAATCCGTAGACAATTCGGTGTGTAAAAAAAAGACCTAACAATTATAGTCTGAAATACGTCAGTCGGCATTCCACTTAATGATAGATTGTATTTGCTGACAAGGTCATTGTATCGTCCAAGGAACTTGCGAAATGTTGACTTTAAAGAAGACTGTTGATATCCTTGTTTCATCAACTTGTTTGTCAATAGCTTACCTCTTTTTAGAAATTTTCGTACGTAGAGCATGCTCTTGTGCGTACCGAGTCAACTTGGAGACATAAATTCTAAATGCATATGATAATGGTATATTGCTACATAAATAAGGGAAGTTGAAGTCATTACGTTTATCATAAAGTTTCGTTTTTCTTTTTCTAGTGAAATACCCAAATATGAAACAGATGCGTCAGACTCTGTGGTATCTTTTATTTCAAGTTCATTGGGATATATCAAGTCGACATATGAATGGAAGTAATTATAAAACGTACATCGACGATATATCTAAATGTTGAGTTGAAAGCCACAGCAAGTGTTTTCTTCTCATGTATAAGTTTTTGAATAAATTCTGCTTCATATGAATATAAAAATATGTCTGCTTATAAAGGGGCGCCATTGGTACCCATGGGAATTCCGACAGATTGTTGGAAGACTTGATCTCCGTCTATGTCTATAAGCTGGAATTGCCGCTATGTAATAATTACTGAAACATTTCTAATTTGAAGAAGAAAATTTATGCCTATTCTATAAGCAGAAGAGGGACACACATTCTAAAGCAGACAATACTTGACAAGGTTTTGTTTTGTATTGGGTTTTTTTTTTTTAAATTATGAGACCATTGAAGAAGTACTGATCATTGAAATTAACCTCGTCCATATCTTCGGCATAAAATTTCAGTTTTTTAAGTCTTGTGTTTTGGCCTGATGGCGATATCATTTAGGGGTTGCAAAAATCTACGAATATTGTGACCAGCGACATTATCATTGTATCGTCGCTGGCGACGAAAGCCTACCTGAGCTATTGTTTTGAGGGAACAATAAGTAATTAGGCAACACTTGTAATAACATGAAGCTAAAACAAGTTAACACAAATCTCAGCTAAAACAAATTTTCCATTTCAAAGGTCAAAGTAGTATTTTAGTAGTATTATATATCCGGTAATCCGGACGAAGGACAGTCTGATTACCCCCCCCCCCCCATTCTCCTATCGTCAAGACGACGACAGGAGAAATGAGGGGTGGTAGTGGTTTTAATCAGACTTGGTAAGAGATTTAATTTCTACCACCTTTTTAAATAAATTTGCATGTAAACTGATAAAACTGCAAGTTGACCATCGACGCCATTGGATGGTGGGGTGGTTACTGGCACATTGAAAGCGTTAGGTGGTAGGTCTTACTCAAGTGCGCAGATCAGTAGCGGATATAAATGGGAGGGGGTTTAAAGAATTAAGAAAGTCTTTATAAAACATGTACAATTCAACTTATATTATTGACAAGTATTGTGAGTTTCTGTCTGACATATATTTTTTTTACTAAACCATCCCAGTGTTGCCCCAATATTAGCCCCTGGAAAATTATGGATCCGCCCCTGCAGGTATAATGTCATGATATTCCGGGGGAAGGCAGGAATATTATGAGGTTATCAGTTCTTCCCTAGACTTTTAATAATTTTCTATTATAGGCTATTTTTTAGCTTTGTAATGATACAGAGTATTGCATGTACTGATCATACGAGTTAAAATCTGTTCAAAATGCATTAATCATGTTAATCTTTTTGAAAATAATTATTATAAGACAGCGGAACATTAACTGGCAAAATTGGAGATATGCAGCTTACGTCATTTCCATCTGTTACAGTCAAAAAATTTAATGATAGGCAATGAAATGGGCGGGTACAATTTGACACGGACGTCCGAGAAACATTGGATTGAAATTCTAGTTTGAAATTCGCATTTTCAATCCACCTCAGCTACGCTAGAATCACGGTGTTACTGATTGACCCAGAAGACAAATGATTTCAATTTCGGAATAGTTTGAAATTTATATAAATCAGAATTTCTGTCCAGTGTTTTTTTTTAAAGAAATAAAAAGGGACAAACATTTGATTCCTGTTTGGTATGTCCATGCGTGTGTTGGGGGGGGGGGGGGGCTGTACGATCTTGGAAATAAAAAAGAAAGTTTTTTTTTAGTTTGGCCAACCCCTCCCTGTTTTTAATTGTCAAACATTTTTAGTGAAGACAAAACTAAAGAAAATAGCTCTTCTCTTCCTAGAAATAAAATATTTTGTCATGTGAAGGCATGATCTAACTCGACAATTTTTTGACCCCCCCCCCTTCTAGAATCAAATGGCCGTCCCCTGAAAAAAATAATCTCTGTCTTCTATGACTTTTACGTGTCCTTAAAATTATAGACTAAAAAAACTCATATAAATATGAATTTCAAACAACCTGTATATGGGAATTGAAATTATTTGTCTTTTGGATCATACATTCACACTTTGCGTTTGAAAACAGCTCAGGTGGATTGAAAATGAACATGATGGATTTCACACTAGAATTTCAATCCAATACTTTCACGGACGTCCGTGTCGAATTGTACCCGCCCATTCCAATGTTTTTAATTGTAACAAATTTAATGGAAATGACGTAAGCAAAATATTTCCAATTTTGCCAGTTAATATTCCGTGGTCTTAGATTTGGTAAATAAAAAATTAGGTATTTTTTTAAAGAGCACACTAACCACAGCCCATAAATCCGCCTATGTAAAAGTTACAAAATATGAAAAAATATATGTACCAGAGACTTTAATGTCTCTGGCACAGGCGAGCTAAGTCACGAGGTAATAGTATCCAATCCAGCTGATTTCAAGGTCAAACTGATTCATAATCGGGATCGGAGTGTTAGAAATTCCAAACAATGTAAAGATCTCGAAAAGAAAAATATCTGTTTTATCGTAAAAAGTCGACAAAATCTTTTTAAAACTTGCTATTTCAGTTTTATATCTTGTTTCCAAAGAGCAGTGTTTAATGGCTTCTTCATCCAAAAAGCGAACGGACGAAAAACCAGTCAATGGATTTTTAAATGCCTCAACACTTTCGAAAGCATTTGCATCAGGGTCCACGTGGGAAGATAAAGTATGATAAATTATTTTCCTTTCGAAAAATAGATTACTTGCCATGATTGTATTGGTAATTGTGCTTAAATAATTTTACCTGCAATGTTGAAAGGAGAGCAAGACTAGGATCCTAACCCCATTCTGGCACTCACCCCCATCCCAGCAGCTGTCCAGTGCTGAATTTTTTTCCTTAAGGGTGCAGAGGTTGGTTTCTCTGTCGATCGATACATATCTCAAAATTTTAACTCAGTGTACAATGTTTCTTACATAGGATGTAGACATTTATTGGATATCAGCCTGGGTAGCTGAGTGGAAGAGTGCCTGACTTGTGATACAGGGGCCATGGATTCGATTCCTCGTCTACTTATATATTTTATTTATTTATTCATCCTTTCTTACTACATTTAGTGGCAAATGGGGGGGGGTGTTCATGTTGTGTGTAAATTGGTCAGTTCTAACAGGGCCTGTGAACTTATGTCTTCAAGGTTGAAAACTGTTCAAGGAGGGAGGAATGTAGAAGCTTGGGCTATATAGACCATGGATATTGGCCTGGGTAGCTCAATGGTAGAGCACATGACTAGTGATGCAGGGGTCCTGGGTTTGATTCTCGGTCCAGCTGCATATTTTTTTGATTCATTCCTCCGTTCCTACTACATATATATAACACTTTGTAAAAATTTTAAGTTAATCTACTGTATCTTTTTTAGGATGAATTTTTAGATGTCATATACTGGATGCGACAAGTGTTTGGTCTTGTTCAAGGCTTGATATGGGGACTCCTTCCACTGAAAGGATTTTTTGGATTGTTGTTGTGAGTATTTTACAATAAGCATGTAAACAAAGAATATATACTTATAATTATTTTTAAAAAATGAGATCTGTAAACACAGTTGTCACTTTAGACTCTTTGCTTGCCCTTTGTCATCAAATGAATTGTCAAAGGTTTGTTCAGTGTTGATAGCTCATGGAAGCTAGAATAAAATCAAATGAGAAAAAAATTGTCAAATGTCAAATAAAATACTGCAAAATCTAATTTTCATTAATTTTTGCCTCAACTTTATGATGAATTTGTGTTAATACTAATTCTAGAGGTAGTACAAAGTACATTCTTTTATACTATACAGGTGAACTTTGGTATCTCAAACAATGATAATTATCTCAAATACCATGAATATGTCGAAGTGATTTGAAATCCCAACCACTTCTTCTTAAAGTATTTTACCCTCGATACCTCAAATCCTTGGATATCTCAAAGTTTTTTTCTTGGTCCTTTAGAGTTCAAAATAATGAGGATTGACTGTATATTATTCACACACACACACACAAAGTTAAGAAAAGGACTGTAGTCCTAGAATGGGATGATTATTGAAAATCTGCAAAAATTTGATCTTACAATTATTAAGTATATATTTTTAAAAGTAGCGTAGTAGTTCTGACACTGGAATGGAATTTACATATTTATGACATTTACAAAGAAAAAAAATTCATCTACGTACGTAATACAAGCAATTTTATTAATGATTTTACATTTAACAGGTTTTTTGTCTTCAACCTTGGAATTGTGTACCTTTACTACAATATGTTTCAAAAAATTGATGATGAAGAATATGGAGGAGCTACAGAAATCTTAAAAGAAGGACTTATGACATCATTTGCAGCTTTTCTGGTATGTGATGTAATTTTCAAATACCGGTATGATTTCAAGATGGAAACATAGTGACAGAGCACAAAATGTCATTCATTACTATAATGTACAACACTATTATTATACCCCCTGCTTGAAAAGTGGGAGGGTATATAGTGATCGAGGTGTCCGTCCTTCCGTCCGTCCGTCTGTCTGTCTGTACATCCTCCGTCCGTCCGTCTGTCTGTTACGCTTTGGGGTACCTATCTCTTATCCGCAACTCCTCTTATACCACTGAATGAAATTTAATGAGACTTTCACAGAATCTTTGTTACATAGTGCCATTGTGCACCTCCTATTTTACTTTTTGATCTGACATTTATTTCGGGTCTCCCAGGGCAAAACATGGACTTTGCCATTATAATCATATGGGAGGCTGGGGGTATCATTTAGTGAGCTCAGTGCTCACAGTACCTCTAGTTGATTTATTAATTTGGATAGTGGTATAAAGAGTTAAATTTATATAAGGAATAACTGTCTAGTTTTTTGGTTTTATGATGTGATCAATCAATTTGCTGGTGTGATAATTTGCATAAACGCTGATGGCGCTTATGCGTAAAATTATCACGCAAGCAAATTGATTGAACATCGTCATAAAACCAAAAAAACCAGACAGTTATTCCTTATATTTACATTTTTACCTGATCCTTAATTCAATAAAAAAAAATCAATAATAAGAAATCTCAGCATCCCCACCAGGTGTATTACTAACCAACATGCAGCGAAAAAGCATGCAGTTCTGTCACATGCTGTGCAAATCGATTTATGGGGTTATAAAGCCATTACCTTATTTGTAGATTTATCTCAGAGAAAGACATTGGAAAATGTAAATATAAGTTTATATAAGCATGATAAGGTTACAATGCTGGTAAATTCATCAGGCCATTATAATTTTTATGAATTAAACACATATACTATATAGACTAGTAGTGGTACATGTATCTGTATCATAGTCTGTTATGTGCATGAGTTTATACAGCACACGCATAATGTTTTCTGACTTTTCTCTGAATTCTCTCCACATTACTGTTAACTGTCTATTACCTAAGAAGTGAAAACTTTTGTCGAAATACAAAGCTAAAATTTCTTTTCAGGTAACATGGATAATAATCTACTCATCATTACATACCAGTTCATAGCATTGATGTAGAGATGGCAGAAGCAATCACACATTTATGGATTCATTTTTCATTTACTGCAGCAAGGGAGCATAAACCATTGTGGTGCCATGAATAAAACTAAAGAAACCCTGTGGCATCAAACACGCATAGAGATATATGTTGTTACGTTTTGTGTGAAGATTTCCAACAGAAGGAATTACTGTCATTGTGGAGTAATATTTAAACTTTTTGGATGAGTTGTTTTTTTTTTTTTTTTGTTTTTTTTGTTTTTTAATTTTGTAGAAGATGCTGGTTGTACTTGTCAAAATCATAAACTAAAAAATGTTCACACATATGTAATGGTAAATATTACTCGGTTTTTATATGGTATTTATAAAAATATTGAATGAAATTAAATGAAAGTAAGAATATACATATTAGTGTCAGTAATCGTCTTTTTTTAAGTTCCTCAAAGTTGTTTATGATATAATCAAAGTCACAACACAAATTTTAGTCATCACTTTTATTATAGATTTGTATTCTAAGGAATGCCAGCTAGGTATTGGCTATCTTTGAAAGAAGTCAATTTTACAATGGCATAAAAAAAATCCTGTAGGATTTGTCTTCAAAATAATATATAGATAGCCTTTGGCTGATTATTACCAGGATAAATTATACAGTTTATCATCAAAGGTAATTTCCAATTGGACTTTGACATGCCCCCCCCCCCCCCCCTTTGTGACTTTTGCTTGCACAAATAGAAGACATAGATATGCAGGTACAAATTCTATGTTTTAACTTTTCATCAAGAGTTCATCAAAACTATAGTTGAAATATACATGTACAAAGTAAAGTTGAACTTTTTTTTTATCTCAAACATCAATATCACCAATAACATGGATATACTGAAGTGAGTTGTAGGTCCCAACCACTTTTTTGAAATGTATTTTAACCTTAATATCTAGAATCCATTGATATCTCAGAATTTTTTTTGGCCCCGTAGAGTTTGAGATAACAAGATTATTATTATAACCTGTTTTGACAAAGTACCACATGGACAATCTTAAGAAGGGTGATACATGAATGAATTCACACTCCCAGACTTCCTTTGCATGTTGCATTTGAGGTTCTAGGATATAGAGATTAAAAGAATACCATGATGAGGAATTTTGGTACTTTAATTATATACATGCATTAAGTACTGTCATCCAATGGATGATGAGATATTAGGGTAGATGATATATGTATCAACTGTGTAATGGGTTTGGGAACTTTGTGTTAGACGTTACATCATTTATAACAGTAAGCTATGTAATGACTTATTGACAGTAATTTCTAGATAACTGATAGCTTTTAAATTCATTTTAGATGCATGTAAGTATAAAGAATGAATGGAAGATTCCTGTCCCAACACTATGATATACATGTGTACCGTATTTGGCTGAATATAATACGCACTTTTTTCCCAAAATAATTTTCTGTGAGAAAGGGGTGCGTATTTTACACCACAATGGGATTTTGATAGGTTTTTCTTTCATGTGAAACACAGCTATCATACGCACATACCGTAGTATTACCTAGAGACTTATGCAAATATATATAATTACTGAACTGCTGAGAGAGATCAAAGCACTTGTGTGTACTCTGAAGAACCAAGTTTATTAATTTGTTGATTCCAGTATTATGTCATGGAAAAATACAATGACATTATTGCCCAACTCATAGTCGGATACTGTAAGAACTGGTTATAAGAAGGCACTGGGACCTCTAATTTTGCTTCCACATAACCGAGATTATATCCCTATAATGCACATAGTGAAAAGTCTTCTATGTGATTCGTAAAAATTTCCTTATGACCGAAATTTCCTTATAAGCGAGTTCTTTGTAACTGAATTATACTGTATACTGCGAGAGCAGAAATATTTGCTGGGAATTAAATTTTGTTCAATTCATTGCAAATATTTTTTATCAATGAATATTATATCCAAATAAATTTTTTACCCAGACATTGTTACATATCTATAATGGTTGTATGAAGTCTCCATGAAATCACTTTAGATCACAAATCAAAGAAATTTTTTTCCCTTGAAAATTCTGCCTCTACAGTATTTATTTTAACTAGTTCCTGTCTCAAAGTACCTCCACATAAATCTCCAAATTGTCATTATTTTCAAGGTTTATTCATTGGTAACAATAACTATCACAATACATCACAATACTGTAATCAAATAAAAAGTGTATATAAATGTGAATGTTAAAATCAAAATAATGACATGAAGTAAATAAATAAAACCTCAAGAAATGAATATTCCTGCACTGTTCCACAGAGATTTCATTTCTCCAATATATTGTCAGTCAGCAATCATTAATGAAGGGTTAATATCAGATAAATACTTCAGATATTTAAAAATATGTGTATATCATTTACATGAAATACTAAATACATTTAATCACAATGTAAGTAAACACAACCAGTAAAATACAGTGGAAAAATTACTCAATGTGATTTCTTTCTCCAGCAGCGCATCTTTTGATCAGTGATAACGGGGACCATTTTGCATAGTGTGCACTGTAATAGTGAATATCTGTGATGCTGCATTATTTTTTTTATGACAAACTTGTAACCTCAAGGCACATTAAATTTTTCCTCATAATCAATGCATCATAAAATCTGATGCAAGGTACCCAGGTACTAGTAACAGTGAGGCACAGTAAAAAAAAAATTAAGTACCTTATCCTTAAAGTATTTCTTTGTTCCATATGAGGGATCATCCTCTGTACTTCATTAGCAAAAGTGCAATGCAACTATTTTACGTATGAATACCTACAGTACCTGACAGGAAAAATCTTAAGTGATATACTTAGCAATTTATATTTATTCTTACTGGTAATATATCTGGTCATTATCTATTGAAAAAGATCCATAACATTGAACTGGATAGATCTAGCATTTTCTACATTTTAATTTTTTGAGTAGGGGAGACTAGAGAAGTGACTTCAATTACTATACATTGTGCGACCAATGCAAAAGAATCTGTATGAAAAAGAACCTTGTATTACCCAGTAGTGTAAAAATAAAACACTAATGGTACATGTAGTTTAAAGACATCTGCTAAGATTCTAAACCAATGCAGGCATTTTAAAAACCATTTGTAATTGCAAGACATTTCCTTGCAACACATTGACCATGTGACTTAAAAATTTTGTTTAAAAAAAAAAAAAAAAAAAAAAAAAAAACATTGAGAGTGCTTTTGCTTATTATTGAAGGTAATACATGTACATAGAGTAATGTAACATTTCATGGGGGGCTTAAAAAATTCCAGTGTCTTTCACTCATATGATAAGACATAACTCAAAAATAGCAGAATTTTAAGTGATTATCCAACCTCTTTCACTTAAGTTTTTTTAAAAGGCAAAATGAACCACATTACCTTATTTTCCTTGGGAAATGAGGAACTATAACTTAGCTGCATTTTTATAAATAGTCACTGTGTACACAGTTCATTCTATCATCAATCATAAATGGTATGTCAAAAAACATGAAGACGCAACACATTTTTTGGTTTCAAAATGATATCATATGACACAACTTAAACTGCTATCTACAGATTGCTACTTAATGAGCAAACAATGAGATTGAAACAAAGTGGAAGCACCAACATCTTTGAAATCATTCTAAAAATTGCACTAATACATTAAAAAAATGTCAAAATCAGCTCCATTATTGTAAACTGCACTCAAAAATTATTTTGAAAGTAATAAAAAAAAAAAAAAGAAAGAAAATTCCACATCTATCACAAAAACAGACACTGATAAGTTTGTATGTGTGCTACATTCCACACACATGTAAAAGAAAATAAGACAAATACACTAACCTTAAAAATATCATGTACTTACCTTATTAATTCTAAAACTATATGTTATCAATATCATTTACTCTTTTGATAAATTAAATAAGCCCCCCCTGCGGCCAAGCCCAGACCTGCTGCTCCAGCTAAGTAGGGAGACCAGGCTTTCAAGTTTTCCCAAACTAACGTCAGTTTCAGTGTAGAGATATCCTTCTCCAACCTTACATATGTGGGTCGTTTCTTGACTTGGGAGAAATAACTGTCAATGTGAGGACATAGGCTTTGTGAGAAATATTCTTTGTCCATTCCTAACAAAGCTAAACGGTTTAGGAGTACAGTAAGGTGGATGTCTGCGGCCGTAAACATGGGACCAAACAACCACAGTTCATCTGCCACATCTCCGTTTTCTGAAAATAAATATGGAAATAATTTTTTCATCAAGGAAAGTTTAAAACAACAAAACTATAGTTAAATGAGCATCTGAGAGCAGAAATTGAACTTCACACATTAATCATGCCTTTTGCTATTTTGAGAATCAAACTGCAGACTTGGTACATGCTTATGGCAAAAAATGCCTTTGTTTTCAAGCCTTGAATAATTCATCAGGATGATTATGGTTTTTTCTTTACCTTGTATTACTAAATGCCTGTTGTTCCATTATTGATAAATTTTATTTATTCCATTTTGATTTGAAAAAAAATTGAATAATATGGACAAATTACCAGTAACTAATGTTTAAAAACTAATTTATGGATCAACTTACTTTCTTTAAGCTCTTTCAGCTGCTGTTCAATATCTTTCAATGTGCGTTTCAGGGCCTCTAAGTGACCTTTGACCTTGGCTTCATCCGTAATGATGTCAAACTTCTGTGCTGCTATCTGGCTCTTTGTAAGGTAACTGTCTCGTAGCGCAGGGTGAGCTGCCGCTAACTCAGTCAAATAGCTCAGGCGATTGGCAAAGTTCTCTGAAAAAATATTAATGTAATGATATTTGAAACTTCTGTTGCATACCGTACAGCAGGTTATTTTAGTGGGTTGCTAATTTTGGCTTATTTTGGCATTTTGAAAACAGCCCACTCAAATTTAATTGCTAAAATATTCAGTACTCTCCATAGTGTTCATCTGCAAAGAGTTGAAACCCTGTGTCCGCTAAAATAAATTACGCGAAAATTTGAGCAGGCAAAACGCCAAATTTTACACCCACCAAGAAAACCCGGTATACGGTAATACCATGAAGAAAATGTAATAAAAATTTGAGAATAGCTCCCATGATTTTGAGACAGGATTGACGGGGAAACATTTCCTTCCTACTAACTACAAAATACTACATGTGTATTCCTTTCAAAACAAATGGATAAAAGTTTTTATAAATTATACCTTCACATCTATGTGAATTGATATTTTATTATCTGACATGGTTAAATTAAAATTATAAGAGTTGAAGGATTTATATCACCTACCTCTCATACTCCTTTGAACAGCCCCTGATATCTGACACCCGGCACCTGACAAGTGTGGATGATATATAATGCCATAAGTAATCACGTCCATTTCAATCATGTCCAGTCTCTTACACAGCTGTCTCACCTGTTTACCAAGTTCTGAGGATTCATCAGGAAATAACCTCTCACCTGTGCAAAAAATGTCTATAATTAAAATAGAAATCTAGCTAGGTAAGTAGCCAGGTAATGGACGGCCCATTAGATATTTTGATATTGTTGTTTTACTGAAAATAATTAACAAACTGAAAGCAACACACATTTATGCTTGTATGTACACATAATTTATCCTTGGGCCATACTTTGAACAAATGAATCTATACTCAGACAAGTACAGTTTATTTTCTAAGTCTTACTACTAGCTAAAAATGTAATTGTATATTTATTCACAATGAATTCAATATTTCTACACATATAAACATGTTTGTGGTGAATTACTTAATAGGTTTTACAAAGAAAACAGACTGTACCATTTTCAGAGGCTTCGTCCACATATTCCATAATGCTGGCAGGATCTGTAACTGTAGTGTCTGTTGTCTCGTCCCTGAGAACAGGTACATGTGCACCCTCTGGATTAAGTTTGACATACCACGGTTGATTGTGTTGTCCAGAAAATAAACTGACCAGACGAGGTGTGAATGCCAATTCTTTCTCAAAGAAAGCAAGCAGAACCTGTAACAAAAGATAACACTCCTGAGTCCATTTCATTGCGAACAATCATTTTTATTTCCTGAACTGTAGAAGAATATTTGAAATCTGATTGATTTTCTTTGTTTTCTTAATCAAAACAAAGTTATGACTGGGAAACAACACCTTGAACTGCATGAATACATGGTATAAGAATATATATATGTACATGTATCATTTAAAAGTCTGATAGATTTTCTTCATTTTCTTAGTCAACATTTTGGATAGTCTGATTCTCATAGATTGGTGAAATAAAATTTCTGTGAAATTACTAATTTTCTTGGAGGGGGCGGTAGGGGTAAGTTTTGTTGTTTTCATGGCATAGAGATACCCATAAATTCATGTCCCATATGAATGTTTAAATTCAATATAAAACATGTAAAAAGCTGTTGGTTTTTTTTTCAAATCCCCTCAAACCAATAATTTTTCCTCAAACCACAAAAATTTGACCCCACAAAAATAAGTGATTTTACAGTTGTTAATTGAATTTTTTTTTCTTTTATTTGATTACTGTAACAGTTATAACTGCTAAAAAGGCAAATGTCCAATCAACACAGAACCGTTTGATATTATTTTGGTGTCTACAGATAATGTTCATTTCCCATACTGTTGAAGTTTTCTAGTCCACCACCCCCAACCCCCCATCCCTACCCTAGTACCCAGTTTTTTCTGGAAGATTGATCGAGGTATAAAAAATGTGACTTACTCCAGACACAGGCCTCTGAATTTCTATCAATACGCCGTAATATGATTGTTCAGAATGACATATATATACCCCCTCTATATATAAATACACCAGGTATGCAACGACTGTGTATTTATATATAGAGGGGGTATATATATGTATGTATCATTCTGATCAATCATATCATGGCTCATTGATAGAAATTCAGAGGTCTGTGCTCCAGACTACCTTTCCCAAAGTTGGCAAAATTTAATTTAGTCGTTATTCTATATATGTTGGCCAATTATACAAATAATGCAGAATATACTTTAATTAAATGTATTTTCTGTGAATATTTTGTACTGTACTGTTTGACCTTCATCAAAATATCACACACATTATTGAAAGATTGTTACCGTTACTGGATTTTTCATTAAAAAAATCATATCTGGTAAGTTATTAAACAATACTAAAAAATTCACTGTACCTTTTGTGAAGAATATGATGTAGGAAAATAATAAAGAGTGAATTTCTTTTCTGCCTTAAGTTGTGCCATTCTGAAACCAGCTGTCTGCAAGGTGCCTGAGGAGGGTTTATTATATACATAAACATATGTTCATTCGTTTTGAAGAACCAGGTGTACAGAACTGTAAAATTCATTTTAAGAGTAATTACATGTTATCAAATATAATATTAGCTTACAACAATGGCAAATTTCCTTGTGAAATATAAAAGAAATGTCTCTAACTTTCAAAATTAACAAATGATCCCTCGCTCTTTTATATTAGGAGATGCATAAAGTAAACCTTGAAATCATCATCTATTGTGCGTTTGTAATAGCGATATTTTGTATAGGGAAGCAAAACAATAATTAACTTGAGTAAAACAAAAAAGAAGAAAAAAGTGAGCATGGAGTTGTGGAAGCAAGGAGCTGAGGCAAAAATTTACAAAACAAACTTTTACGGCAAACCTTGCATCGTCAAAGAACGTTTTGTGAAATCTTACAGACATCCCAGTCTTGACAAATCACTGACAGCTCATCGAGTTAAGTCTGAAGTTAGAGCAATGTTAAGATGCAGGATGAATGGCAAGTAAATCTTGATCATAAGTTGTGAATTTTCGCAAATTGCAAACATCTGAGTTTTTTTTTAATGCCTTTATTTAAAGGGACATGGGTTCTAGTAATAACAGTTTTCTCACAAATGACAGAGAAACACTAAAAGGGAGAGCACTTTCAAGACCCCTGCATAATCATAATGTCAACAAATTGATACTGATACAGGTGTATCAAATAAAAACGCAGTACCCTTTCTTCCCATAATTTGTCCCCCAGTACACTGTAACATGAAGTGATCACCAGTTAAGTCGAACCCCCAAAACAGAGTATACCGTCAAAGGGGGGTTTTCTGTTATGCCATGTGGATCGTTTTGCAGATGTAAAACCACTCGTAAATGATAGCGATTAAAGGTGTATTAAGAGTTGGTGTTTTAGAAAAATATCACTTTATCGTACAAATAGGGCCAACAATAAAAAATGATTTGTTTGATGTACCATACTCCAACCGACCCATTAAAATTGCCCCAACCCAAACATTTTTTTCAGCACTTCAAATTCTTTTTTTAAATAGATTATCTGTATTGTTTTTAAAGTTAGGATCTGTCAATTTTCTAAGATACTTTTTAGATTAAAATATTCTACAGAAATAGATTATTTATTTCATTTGCTTAGCTTTTATGAAAATTTCTAAATCTGTGATTTATAAGCAATTGTCAAAATGTTAGAAAATATTTAATTAAAAAAAAAATACCTAAATACCCGCCTTGTAAAATGTGGGTCGGAGTACATCAAACAAAGAAAAGTTTAATGATGTCCTAAGGATTTTCTCACTGTAATATGTTTTTAGTCCAAATAAAAAAAAACACACACACTAAGATTACTGCATATAATTTCTTCCATGTATTTTTAATTAATTTTTTTCTTTTAAAATTTTCATAGGTATACTCACACCTACAGTGTATTTTGTAAATATGGATACATCATGCATCTATATGGAAGAAATACAAGATTCTGTGACTGTAAAAGACTACATAAAAAGTGTTCAAAGTAGCAAGAACTTAACAGAAGCTGTAAAAACTCTAACACCATTGGCACAGACTATTGGAAACACATTGGGTATCATGCACAAGCAAAACATCGTTCATGGGGACCTGACAACTTCTAACATGCTCCTTCGGGGAGAACCATCTGATAACAAACTCTATCTTATTGACTTTGGATTAAGTTTCTTTGAAAATTTATCAGAAGACAAAGGAGTGGACTTGTATGTATTGGAGCGAGCACTTTTAAGCACTCATCCAAATACAGAAAAGTTGTTTGATGTAATACTGCAGGCTTACTGTAAGAGCAATGACACAGGATCAAAAGAAGTTACAGCTAAGCTGGAGGAGGTCAGAATGAGAGGGAGAAAGAGAACAATGGTCGGCTGAATTCAAGACTTTAGATTATTTTTACAACAAATTATAACCTCTTAAAACATTGAAATTAAGGACTTTGATACAGTATATATGTATGAAGAAAATTTAATGACTGTTTATGAAAGTATATTTTCAAAAAAATAGTGTATCTGTTTGTCTCTGTTGTCTTTATATGTATCACTACCATTGTGGATTTTGAGGAAAGGATACTTGAATTACTTAAAACTAATGAATAAAATGAGGCCCAGAGAATTTTGTCTGTCAGCAAGAAGTCTTTAGACCCTGGAATCAACTAGGTACAACCCTCTTGACACTTTACATAAATGCAATGTCAGAGGAATTCCTGTAATCTGTGTGTGAAATGAAATGAAGAAATTTTTACATATTTTGGAAAGAACACAGCATCTACATATAAAAGTAAAGGAATATGGAGTCTAATGTCACAAAATTTTGAAGGGCTGGAATGTAATCTTGACTGAGATTCAGCTTGCTTTTATTGTTAAGGGCATTAGTCTAAATACTAAGCTGAGTCTCAGTGCAGATTAGGCTGGAATGCTCTCTTAATAAGGTTTAGGAGGTTCAAAGGGAAATCAAGGTCATAAGGAATGGTCAAGGTCAAATTATTATGACAAGGTTGAATTTATTACTATGTATCTAATGAAAATATCCTGAATAATTTCCTTGAAATGAAACTAATTCAGATCCTTTGATCCACTTGTGTAAATCATTACACTGAATAAAACTAACATATTTAATCAATTGACAAAAAGTCAAAGGGATCAGACACAAGTTCTGGAATGTAGTCTTCTTCCAATACAAAATTTTGTAAAGTTGCCAAAATATAAAAACATGTTTATATATGTTCTACTCCATAGACAAAGTAGTATTAACTCAAAACTGAAATTAAATTCTTCCTTAAAATATAAAAAATATAAAGAAGAAGGTACGGTTTTAGCTTTATTGTGCCCTAAAAATCTAATGTTTTCAAAAAGTTTTGATACTGGCTTAAATATTAGTTGAGTATATATATGACTGTGATAAATCAGGAAATAATATGGCATAAAGGAGTACCATTCTGGAAATATGCCGTCATCAATTTGATTCATTTCTCTATTTTAAACAGAAAATGCCTCAAAATGGCTCATTTCAAGGGTTATTTTCCTTAAGAAAATAGTGTCCACAGCCGTCGCCCACTTTAATTTTTGGATATGTTGTGTAAAATTCTTTGAAAAATCACATATCTCAAAATCTTTGTGGGCGATGGCTGTGGATGATATTATCTGAAAGAAAATTCCATTGAAAATTGGTGTCTTTTGCAACTTTTTAAGAAAATACGGGAAATTGCACAAGTTTATGACGTCACAATTAGCAGTTAGAAGGTCATGAGACAATTAGCAGTTAGAAGGTCATGAGAGAAAAATGATTTGTATGATCTTTCTGCATGGAATTTCAATGATTCAGAAAGCATGAGTTTTAATTTTTCACATCACTTTCATTTTTAAGAAAAACACAGGGCAAGAATTGTATTGAAACCGCACCTTGTTCTTTTCCTTGTAAAAACTATGTTTTTGTTTTTTTTGAAAAACAACCACAATCATTTAGAAAAGTTTGAATTATTTAAATCTTAAAATCTTGAAAAGTTCAGCATTTTGTACACTAGTGAAAGAATCCCCCACCCCCATTAGCAGCAAATGTACATAATTTATATAATGTACAAATTATTGAATGATAGTAGCTTAGCCTTACTTTTGCATAATTTTTACAAACAAAAAAATTATGGTATGCATCGATCTTCTAATTAGTCAGAATAGCTATTAAGTTACACTGAAATATTAAGTCTGAGTTTAAAATACAATGCACTTTATAATTGGGTCTCAAAATTGTGTGAATTAAATTTAAAATGTTAAAAAATATTTTGGAGGTTTTACAATATTGTTGTGTCGACAATTTTTTTAAAAAATGAATTGTAATTAGATTGAAAAGGTGTTTATCAAGCACCCTACCTGTTTAAAGAATCACTGTCTAGTTTGTTGGGTATGCAAAGGCATCAACGATAGTTGGAAACATGGGATAATTTGCATAATGGGCAAATCCCGTCATGCATAAATTGTCCCACATTTCCAACTATCATTGATGTCCCTGGCATACCCAACAAACTAGACAGTGATTCCCTATATTTACATTTATTTATAACATAAAATTGTAAATATAAATTAAAAAATGCTGTCTAATAGATTTAAAATACACAAGGCACCCCATGTGAATCTCAGTAGTTCCCGGCCACTGACAGACACAAAGACAGCCACACGAGATTGACATGCATATTAGGGATCTGACCTTTCATTTGGGGAAATTTATATTCAGGTATAATTATCAAGAAATCAACTCATCTAACTTTCAAAGAGTTATTACAGAGAAAACAATTAGAAATGTAAATATATACTGTATATACTCACCTATAAGTCGGTTGTATTTTTTAAGCTTATATTAGAGGGATTGACCTTCTAAAATACCAATCTTCTTATAACTCGCCTATAAGTCGGACATAGAGTTTTGGACCAAAGTTTAACTCCCAAAAACCCGACTTATACGCGAATATATATGGTAGTATACTTTGTATTTATATCATCATTGATTTAATATATAAATTCTGACCATATGGTATCCTATTTTCATTCACATGAAATAATACACACTAGGTAGTACAATAAAGCAAAATTTCCAAATATGAACATGTATGAAATAACACACACTGGTCAATAATTAAAGGACAATTTTTCACATTTTTTTAATTAAGAAGTTTTTTATCAAGCACTTTATCATATTGTCACCATTGAATGAAATATTTCATTACATTATAAATTAAATTATATTTTCAATAACAGGCTTTTTTAAATATTTTATACTTAAATTGCAAGTGTCAAGTGACATAATTTATCTCATGCTAAAACATCCCACAAAGCCTGCAAAGTGATTCCATCTCTCAGTTTTTCTATTGCAAGCCCCAATTCTTCACAGTAAACTGGGTCTCTGTCCTTGTCCTTATTTCCATCCGCAAAGTATGCAGCATACGCATCCGAGGAATTGTCAGCCTCAATTTCTACATCATCTTGCTGGTAATCTACCCCCAGATCCTCTGCTCCTTCAATCTTCTCCTCTGATTCAAACTCCACACCAAATATTGGACAAGAACTATACACTCTGTGCAGACTCTGTATTTCTTTCACAACATCATGAAGCTTTTCTGATGGGTCAATTCGGAAACCAAGAACATACCCTCCACTTTGTTGAGAGCTCTCTACAACAAGGGCAAGTCCAAACTTGGAATCACGAATTTTTACAGACTTCATTTGAAGGTAAGGGATGCTGACATTGAAGGACTCGTTGATGTTAGCATGCCAAACTAATCGGACATTGGTAATGAAAAATGTTCCTAGATTACCTTGGTCACTCGAGAGATTCCAGACTCCATTAACTTTATTATATACCTGTTCTAGTGGCAGAAGTCGCAGTTGTTTGTTGTGAATAAGAGCTCCTCGCAGCTTCAAGTCTCGGTAAAGCTTGGATGTTTCATAGGCTCTATGGACTGATATGACAGTGGTGAAGAGTCTGGGTGACCCAGGAATTAGATTTGTGAAGATAAACTCGAATCTAGTATTGTTGCATTTTGTCAACACATACAGTGCTTCTGTTTGCCCCCGAAGTTTTGACTGTGCTGTCTTTGTAGATATATTAATGACACAGTTGAAGCCAATAGATAGGTTTACTCTTGGCAAAGCCAAAGAATGCCATATGATTCTTAGGTTGGTGACAATTATTCGGCCTCGATCCCCATTATTGCCTTTTGTATCTTCGACAGCATTCAAAGCATCGATCATTTTTTCGCCAGGTCGCATCTTCATTTGTTGTGGGTTGATGTCAAAACGGACATCTCTGTCTTCCCAAAGTCCCTCGGACGCCATTTTGACGCTTTTCCCTGGTGACGTTCAATCAGAATGACTTCCCTTTTTCCGGAATCAATTTTTTAATGTTATTGATTTTTTTTCACAAATGTAACAAATATATATACATGAAAATATAATTAAACATAATAAGAAAATATTATTCTATAATATGCTTTTTTAGTTTATTTTTAAATAAAAATGTTACTGTTCCTTTCCGGATATAGCTATGTTTATCTATGAGATTTTGCATTTACTCAATAATTATGAAAGGATAATTTTGATTGGTTTTCCCTGCAATATTGTCCAATGAGAGCCGTCCTCTTGTTGGAACATTTGGTAATCTGCTAGACGAAATTTTGACAAGGTGAAAAGCTAAGGACAGAAACAGATCTAGGTAAATTTCTTTAATTTGATGTATTAACCTATTTTTCTGGCAACTTTAGTGACAGTTTGGTAATCATTTCTGATCTCAGAAATGATCGAAGATGTTGAAAGATCGATAATTATTCGGTAGATCGGTATATTCAACCTTACCATTAATTTTATGACCCATGCCTATGTCATGAGATTAATATTCAGTGACTTTTTCGAAATGAAATTATTGCGTAATGATATTGTTTGTGGCTAGATGATTTCAATGAAACAAGACGTGCAATATTTTTGTAAACTGATAATATTTTGTTATTTCATGAATGTAGTAACTATTTTAGTATTTGTTTCAATAAAGCCAAGCCATGCGTATACAAAACAGCCTGGGGCTATATAATTGTTGTTTTTGTGCCAACAGTACCTTATCCTACATCAAGAGAGTAGAGCTGTAAATAACACATGTCATTGTCAAATATGAATCACAATGGGATGCATTCATTTGTCAAATAGCAATTATATGGAAGTATTTTTTATACACACATTTATCTGTAAACAACCTCTGTTTTGGTTCAGTTGAGGATTGAGGACACCCCCCCTTTTTTTTTTAGCAAAGCGTACATGTAAATTACATTTATTAAATACTTGGAGCATGTACAGGGGTAGACAAATAGAATTTGTCAGTACTTGCCCTCGGACAGGTTACCATCGTAAAATTACTTGTCCTGCCAAAAAATATGCTTGTCCCACCTTTTTCTTAATTAACATAAAATTAAAGCATTATCGTTAATATTAAATTAATTTTCAATTGATAAACTACATGGGGACCAAACTATACCAAAATCACTTAATTCTTCCACGGATTTAGGGGTAAGTCTTGTTCCAGGGAGATTTCTGAGCTTGTGCAGTGCGCATATCTATATGTACATGTACATAATTTAAACATTTCTATGAATTACTTAATTTAACATCCCAAAAATTGAAGACGTCAAATCATTTGATGATTTCCAATTGCAAGGCATATGAATATCAAGCATTAGAATTATATTTACAACTTACAATTTCTCAACTGAAAAAAATTAATTCATATCCTGCATAATATGCATACATGATTACAGTTCAATATTTTAGTAGTAAAATTTTACGTTTAAAATCCAGATTTCTTTCCTTATTTTCGGGGTATTAGTTAAGTCAAAGTTTCAGTCTATTTTCTTCAAAATTCTTCAATGAGGTATTCCCTTTTTTTTTTATTTAAAAATAATGCATAATTGTTTGATTGAAAGCAAAAAAATATTATACAGTAATTGATTATGAAAACCACCATTGCATGCCGATCGTGACTTTCTGTGATCGCCAGTCAACAGCTCCAATTTTAATATCAGTATAAAACGTTTGTATTCACGGCATGAACTTTACAATACCTAAAATGGTCTAAAATCCTCTTCAACTTTACAATACCTAAAAAGGTCTAAAATCCTCTTCCACTTTTATTGACATGGAATCGATAGCTGCTGTTTTACATCGTGTGTATATTTTAACTACACATGAATGGGTAAATTCTAAAGGAGTTCCGACCGAGTATTCGATGTAGTGATGAACAGCAGCAAAAACAGGTGCTCTACTGTGATTCATTACATTTCAACAGCGGTAAAACAAACAACATTTGATTTTTTTGTTAACTGGAGAAGCACTTGTCCGCGGGCAGGTACCACTTATCAAATAACTTGCCCGCCAAACAAATTTGGTTGTCCCGGGCGTCGGGCAATGCTATTTGTCTAGCCCTGATGTATTGAATATAGTGAAAAAATTTAAGGTACATATTTTTGAATAAAATATGGAGCATACAGGAAATTTTACACTTACCCAATGAAAATTATTAAGTAGCAAGAGAGTTTGAATGTAATTGTTTTACTAATCACACAAACCCTGACAAGATATAACGGGTATACAGCTGTAATGAGGTATTACCTGCACATGTTCTGATCAGAGATCAATTTTAATTGATTATTATTATATGTCCACAGGTGCTTTTTATTTGCCTTGGTCAAAATTGAAAGAGTTACGTAAAGGACACTAGGCAGGCTTTCATTTTAAAGCATTAATTGTCAATTACTGTGTGCAAAATGTTCTTGCATAATCACAATGGAGTGGTATAATAGTAGGCTCCTCATAACCAGTCATTAGACTGATGCGATTAGCAAGATTATGCATTATCACAATGTTGGTATAATGATCATCATGACTGGTTATATCATCATAACCAGTCATTTAGACTGATGTGAAGAAAAAAATCACAGAAGCATATGTGAATCTTGCCATGGTTTTGGAAGTAAGTCTGACAGGTCAGGGAAACTCAGTACATATCAAAATCACAACTTTAAAATCTCATAACATCCATATACAACTCTAAGAGGGTCGTATCACTTTCTGGTAAAAAGAAAAAAGCTGGATCCCATGAAATTGGGAAAATAATAAACAATGTTAATTTATCAATTTGGTGTGTCATCGTCGCAAGCCACGGGCTTTGTGTCCATTCCCGTGGCTTGCGATGATGTTTGGTGTGTATGCTAAACAAACAGTGCAATTTGTGTTCAGTTCATACCGGTAATTTAAAATCTGTTCTTGAAGTAAATTAACATTGATATCTTGGGCTCATATTTTTGCATATATTGTGATGGTACATGTATCATATGAATATATTATAAATTTAATGAAAGAATTTTTAAAAAAATTAATAAATTTATTCAATTAAAAATGTATCCTTTTACTGGACCAAGCTTATTTGTTGGATTCACAGCCCTGGACTAAACTTTAACATCTAGTTTTAAATTAATTTTGCTTTTAGATAATTCTGTATATCTTGTGTCAGATTCCAAACAATTTGATAAACAAATTATTTCATGTTTTGAATTGTTTCTTTCTTTAGAAAAATGGAAAAGCTAACTGAGATTGAGTTTACTGGGATAAGTGTACAAGACAAAGCACCAAGAAACTTGTCAAACAATGCTTCCAGCATTCTGATTCAGGTTTGACTTAGGAACTTTCTTATAACTTACGGTTTTAATCTTTTTAATACTGTATACAGGGTGAATTTCACCCCATGTTATTTTTGCCCTTTCACACTTGCAAATAATTTTGCCCTATTTTAAATTCACCCAATCACAGTTCTGTTTAAGAAATTATATTGTGTATTTTGAATTCGCCCCATTTTAAATTTGTCTAGCTGTGAGTAGGGCTAAAGGGGCAAAATAAAATGGGGGCAAAAATTTCCCTGTATACAGTAATTAGGGTGTATTGATAGCTTATCTCTTTTCCCTTTATTATACAGGAGGATGATATTGAGACCCCCTTTGGCAATCTTCATGTTGCCATTCAAGGAGACAGATCAAAACTTGCTATCTTGACATTTCATGATATTGGTCTCAACAGTAAGTACACAAGTGCATCAAAGGTCAAATATGTTTATTTTTAGGGCATTTTGATTTTTAAAAAGTCTTTATATTTCATTATATAATGTACTGTATGTGGCAAATAATAAAAGGACAGAGCCACAAAATTGCATTGCATGTTGCAAAGTGTTACTATTTAGTATTATCCATAGTTACATTACTGTAATTTGTAGTGAAACCATTAGAATAAGAGCAGTTTCCTTTGTGTAACAGAATTCTACATAGATCTATCAAATGATACATTTAGCATTTCTTCGCATAGTGCAATTGACGTCACAATTTTCTGTAAACTCATATGGCCTGGTGTTTCTGCCTTTTTTTTTATTCACAAGATTTTTATGACTTAGTAATAAAAAAATTAGAGTTAAAATTTTAAATTTTGACGACTCTCCCTACCTCAGGATCAAGATTCTGAACTTCTCAGTTTCAACAAAATCTGAAATAAAAATTTCTTTGAAGAATATGTGGATTTTAACTTGAATATTCTCTGTTTATACACATCCTTGGAGCTAGCAGTGCAAGCTCACTACACTTGCTAGCACAATGAAAAAAGCTAATAGGAATATTTCTTATTTTCCAGGTACTACATGCTTCCAAGGATTCTTCAATTTCATTGACATGCAACCAATCTTGCGGCATTTCTGTGTGTACCATGTGAACGCGCCAGGACAAGAAGACGCAGCTCTTCAACTCAGACCTGAGTAAGATATTCAATTTCACTTGTTAGACACTTGAGCAGATTTGCAGATCAGTAATCAGAGCAATTTTAGGCATTTTAATATGGTCACATTTTATTTAAGCAGATATATTTACTTCTTGTTAGTGGGTGATTAAGTTCAACACAATGATAAGTTTAGGTTGTGGGATTTATAAAAATGTATTTTGTCTTTTGATTATGAAAATCTTTTTTTTTTTTCAAAGGATATAGATAAGAAAATATTTATATTTATCACTGGTGATGTGTCCCATAATACTTTTTGATAGAAAAGTACTTTTCACTGACATTCTGTTTTGAGAAACTGATCACCAAGTTACAGATTTGTACCTGTTAATTAGTGTTGATTGAGCATGGGGAATTGAAAATGTTAAATTTTGGGGATTTGGTTTTTATACAGTGGTGTAGGGTTGTGTTGCACTTTTTAGTACTTACATAGAAAGCATGATTTGGAGAGGTAATTTTATACGAAATTCATTTTCCAATTTTCAGGTTATTAGTTATCAAAGAGTTAATACAAATGTATGGTGAAATGATTTAATTATCCAGGAGATCTATAAGGAAATTGTTGTGGAATTTTCTTGTTAAACATCTACATAAGAGAAGAGAAAAAAAAAATGGTTATATTACGGTATTGAATCTTATGTTTTTATCATGTTTATCTATTGTTTGCTATTTTCAATAGGCAAGATGCCCTAGGCAACCCAGATTCGTTGGGTAACAGGTATGTTTAGCTAGGTCCACCCTCAGCTACAGAAATGGCTTGTTATTTCAACATCTGTAATATAAAAAAAATCCTGTACAGTATTCACTCTAAAAAGCATCCAGGGAACTCAGAAAATTGGGAATGGGGTATTATTACACTGGAGTATTATTAAATCTGTCTTTCATTAATCAAGTAAAATTTGTGTAAGACCACGGGGGTTTTTTTAGCATAATAAATTATACATTTAGAATTTTTCTCTCCAGAAAATGAGAGGTACTTAGAGAAAAGATGCTTATTAGGATAAATACTGTTATTATTAAAAGTACTATATTAAATTATTATTATCTATTCTTAAAATACAAATCAGTGAATATTCATGGCCATCATTCGTGATGTAAATTCTCTGCAGTAAAATGAATTAGGTGGTTTTCAATTCTATCATTGAAAAAAAATCTTTCAAATGATTATTTCTGAAATTGATTTTTGCCAAACATTGAAATATATTTTGATTTAAAATCCTCTGTTGTAAAAAAATAATTTTATAGAATTTTGTAATTAATTTTTTGTTTGTCTTTAAAATCCCAGTAATTTATGTACAGTTTAACACTGATATTAACATGAAAGCCATTTCTGTGTTAGTTGTAAGCATCCTAGCTAGAAAAAGAGAGAGATTCATGTATCTGAGACTGAACTGGTTTTCTGCTTTTCTTTTTTTTTTTCTGCACTTTATGATGCGCAAATTTACTGCTGTAGGACAAGGAAATGCTTTGAAACAAAAAAAGAAAAAAATCATGCTTTATGTTCACCGATTTTTGTTTTTTTAACAAAGTAGAATGAAAACATTTGTTAGAATTTTGAAAAAAAACTAGTTTAAATTTGAATTTTTCAACTAGTTATTATTTCAAAAATTTAGAAGAAAAAAAAATGTTTCAGCATGATTTTTTTCAGTTAAAGATTTGTTGTAAACAATTCAAAAGAGAATAATTCCTCTGCTGTGCATTTTCTTCTTTCTTTTTTTTTTTTTTATTTCTAACAAGATGCTTGTTTACAGAGAAGTGATCACTCGATCAGTGCCTTTTTACTTACATAAATCTTTGTAATTCAGATTCTGAGACCAGTGTGTCATGTATTCAATATAAGAATTTTTTCAATTTTATAACCGTTAATTAAGTAACCATGATGCTTATTACTAATTCTGCCCCCCCCCCCCTTTCCAGTATTCTTGCATAACAGAATGATTTATAAAGCAGTCCCTTAATCTGGATATAATTTTTTTTTTCATTCAAAAACATTATTATAACATATATATTCCCTTTTAAAATACAAAATGTGCATTGATTACCTTGAATAGGTTTCTTTTTATTCCTGTGGATTACTGAACTGTGTTGAGAAGTTTACTCCATTAGTAGGGAGGTTGAAATGATGCTTTCCGTCACAGGCACTTGATGTAATATATTTGTTTAACACAAAAAAAATATGATGTTGAGTGTCTCTGTGTGATGTGTAGTTAATTTTTTATCAATCCTATAAAAATTGTTCTTGATTCTCATTAGGGATGAGTGTTTTTATCGGTATATTGCGATTTTTCACTGCGTGATACGCATCGTGATACGGAGACTAAAATACCGATATTTGGTACATAACTATAAATTCCGGAAATTATTCATTTATTTGTTCAAACTATTGAATGACAATTGTAAGAAGTGTAAAAAAGGTTGAAAACAGTTAAACAACGGCATCAAAATATGCTCTTTATTAAATAAATGAAAATTCAAAAAGTAAAGTTATGTTTTTATAGCATATTTTTAAGAAATGTTATGGAAATTCATTTGAAATTGTAGTAAAAATTGTGTGTAAAAATATCACGATTTATCTTGATATTTTTGGGAAAAAATCATGATATATCACAATAGGAAATTTTTGCTGATATCCATCCCTAATTCTCATATTTTGGCTGATTTCTCAACACCTTTTAATTATCTGTCAATCAAGTATAATTGCTATCTTCATATTCATAAATGTTTACATGAACTGTACATGTTTCATCTCTAAAATCATGTTATAGGAGTTTAAGAATATTGAAATGACCCAAATGAGCTTATATTGTAAACTACTATTCTTTTTCTAGTATATAAATGAGAAAACTGCTTTTAGATTTAAATCTTGTTATCCAATGTTTTGTCAGTCACAATGTCAAAAGAAAAAATGCGTGATACCTGTATGTTTATGAGTCCATATAAAATTATCAGCTGCATGCACAATATGGTTTTGCAACCAATGCTTTTGTCTTTGCATGCTTTAATTCTGTAATTTACATTTGTTGATTTGAAATGAATCATCAATTTTTGAATGGATAAAATCTTCACATTGACTGCATATTACTTTTTAGCTGACATCTAGGAGCTATGATTGTGATGAATGCTTATTTGCTAGCTTTAAAATACTAATCTATCTATTTTTCAGTAACATTTGCACAAGAATTTTCATGTTTAATACCTAATCTATTGAATTAATCAATGTATCAGTATACTTATAACATTTTTCTAAAACATTTACTACAATTATAGTAAACTATAGATTCTGTGTTTCTGGTGTAGAATAATGCCGTATACTAGTTAATAGTTAAATATTTACCTTTAATTATTATGTCAACTTGGTGACAGTTCCAGTTCATGGCATTGATACAACAGGTTGACCTTTTTAATTTCCTTTTGCTCATTAATATTAACTTGACTCAATTGAGTGGAGTGGCTGGTACACATGTACTTAAAATCAATTGAGTGCAATGTCTGGTACATGTGTTTAACTTTTCTTATAACTTTCATTCTTGATCCTTCATGCAGCTACTCGAGAAATCAGTGGTTTGTAATTCTTCACCCAAATAAAGCAAAAATGTTCTTGTTTTGTAATTGTTTTTATTTTGAGATATAAGAATATTATGTACATGTATAAGCATCAATACTTTGTCCACAAAAGTTTTAAAATTGCTTTTTTTAATTGAATATATAATTGGCCAAACTTCAATTCATGATTTTTTTTTCCTCCCTTTCATTTTGCAATGTTATTGATTATATTTATAGATATGTTTTTATTATCATTTATTTTATGGCATTTTTTTTAAGCCTGTTTAGTTAAAGCTGATCAATTTTCAAAATGTATTTATTTCAATGCTTGTGACCATTTCTTTCCATCAACTAGCTGTAGAAAAAAATATATACACATATCTTCAATTGATAATGAATCATCTAAACAGATAGCATGTATTTCTTGCTTGGTACGTTCACTCCAGTAATTATGTACTTTAAATTATCAACATAAATTGCTATTGAAATTCAATGTTTTCTTCTTGTTGAACTTCTAAATAATATACATGTATGTAAATAGACATTTTTGAGATAGTTTAGCCACTTTCAAACAAATGTTTAACCAATGTGAATTAAAATCTATCATTCACTAAACTGTTTAATTTTCTGACAGGTTCACATATCCCTCTATGGAACAACTAGGGGAGAGCATTCAATCTGTTGTTGATCACTACAAGTAAGTAATTAGTCACCTACAGGTGAAACCGGAGGGGACTATAGGTTTCCTCTGCGTCTGTCCATCCGTCTGTCCCACTTGGTTTTCGGAACTTTTTTCCTAAACGCTTGCTGATATTGAGCTAATTTTTGGTATATGAGTGTATCTTGATGAGTTACTGATCAAGTTTGCATTTCGATTCACTTCATTGATTTTTGATGAAATTACGACCTTTTCAATTTTTAAGGGTTTTCTGCATTTTTTTTCTAAATGCTTGCAGATATAAAGCTGATTTTTGGTATGTGACTTTACCTTGATTAGTTATAGACCAAGTTTGCATTTCGTTCCGCTTCATTGATTTTTGACGGAATTATGGCATTTTCAATTTTTAACGGTAACCAGATTACACTTGCCGGTAGGGAACTAGTATTGCTAATGCAATGCTCTCAGAATGCTTGTTTTATACTGTATAAAGTAACTATTTCATTAAACCATCTTGTTGGGGTGTATAAATGCTAGGGTATCAATATAGAAACAAAGCCTTGCTTTTACTACAAATGTTTACATGTTAACAGTTTTTGATAGTTCCTTAAAAAGCATGCATAAACTAATGCTTGAATCTTTTCTTTTCCTTTTAAATATACACAAACTACAACAAACCAAGGTATAATAAAGATGAATAAATCTTGTATGTTCGTTTTTCATTACAGGATCAAAAGATTCATTGGCTTTGGTGTTGGAGCAGGAGTTAATGTTCTTTGTAGATATGCTGTGAGTTACATGATTTGATTAATTATGATGGTTTGATGATTTACTTATTATTCAACCCCCTTTTTCTTTCACTTCAAGCAGATATTGATTTTTGCTATAGATTATACCAGTAATAATGCATAAGAGTACATACCCCCCCCCCTCCCACACACACACATAAAATAAACATTTCAATAAATATCATACAATTTTAACTCAGTTCAACAAGGTCAAGATGAACATATGCTATACTTCTGATATCCCAGGTAAAGTTCATGGAGTAGGTTCAATTCACAGGTCACTACTTGCATAGTTCTAATGTGGACCAAATTTGCAAAGATGGTATAGGCATGTTAAATACCAGTCATAATTTGGATGCATATTTTCACAATCTTGTTTTAGATGCAGTATTTTCCCAATAAGTAACAAACACACTGTAATGGTGTAAATGAAGAATATCCTTATTATGGTGTTTTAGTTACACATATGGAAAATAAACCATCTGAAACAAGATTGCTCTTGAACATTCATTTGATCTGGGACTTTGTCCTACAAAGATTACATTTGTTGAGATGAGGTTTGTAATCTATGATTACCTATGTTTTAAATCAAATTATCTTTACATTTTCAGCTGAGTCATCCAGAATTTGTAGATTCCCTCGTGTTGGTCAATGGAACAGCTGACAAAGCTGGCTGGGTGGAGTGGGGATATCAGAAGGTTTGAATTTACATAGATAGGATATTTTCTTTTAATTACTAGAGGTATGATTAACACTGAAGCCAATATTTTTATCGTGTTTGAGTGTAGGATAGAAAAAATCCTATCTGAGAGGACAATATTATTGGTCTCTGAGCCTACCCAGGCTTGTCGAGTCAAAATGGCAAAGTGATCTTGTGGTAGAATTTATCCATCAATCACTCAATGATACTCATACATACTTATGATTTAGGTAACCCAAATAATAAAAACAAAGTTATAGAAAATGCAATATATTACAGTGCGTGTTTAAAAATATTTGATTTTTTATTTCAGCTGAACTCCTGGTATCTTTGGCGAGGGAACATGACCACTTTTACAGAAGATTACCTCCTTTGGCACTGGTTTGGATCTGTGAGTATTTTACGCCAAATTACCAAATTAAAAGCTTATTTGTGAAATAAAAATAATAAATGAACTGAAATAGAATTTCAGAATTGGTGGTTACTTTGCAAAATTGATTTTCTTTAAAAACATATTCATGTAACACTGGTGCATATCAGCATGACTATCAATAATATTTTTCCCACCAATATGTATTAAACAGAAATTTAAAAAAACAAAAATGAAGAACAATTTTGTTTCCATTGATTTCTGGTGTCAGAAATGGAATAAATACACTCATTTTGATAAATTTTTATTTCATTTCAGAAAACCCAGTGGGAGAATTATGATCTGACAACAGTCTACAAGGAATACATCAAAAGTGTCAACCCTCAGAACCTGTCACTCTTCATTGAGGCATACCTAGCGTAAGTCTGCAGCAACCAAGCAAGTTACCAACCAATCATACCTTACATGTAGCTGAACCAAATTTAGTATCATGATAGATATATCACTTAGAAACTTTTTTTTTGTCTTACTTCTGAAGATTTTTTAATTTTACTGTAAGGAAAAAAAAGGTCAGCAGCAAAATATAAGCAGAATTAGTTGTAAATGTTTGTTTTTTGTTTTTTTGTTCTCTAGGAGAACTAGTCTTGGTATAGAGAGAGAACTGGACCCAGTGAGGAGGATTGGAACTAAAACCCTTCAGTATGTAGTATTCATCACCAATAGCAAAACTCCCAATATATAGTAGTATCAGCCTAAATTGCTGCATTTTATCCCAAAAAATGTTGATGTCAATGAGTCATTAAAATTATGATTTTCCACAGTAAGTAGAGCATGAAGTTAAAAGTTAGACTCTCAGGAAGTAGAGTACTGTTATTTATGAGTATGTTGATGAACATCCATTGATAATGATTTGTAGGTGTCGAACCCTGTTAATCGTTGGCGATGATTCTCCTCACCTGGATGATGTTGTTGAGCTCAATGGACAGCTGGATCCAGAGAAAACAGATTTCCTCAAGGTTATTTTATTTCTGGATAATATATTCAAAAAAATTGTTGTTTTTCTGGAATAAAACATGTGTAATTGTAGAAAGTGGAAGTCAGTTATATGATGTGTAACAAATTTTTTCATGAGATGTCCGTGTTCATTATTGTACACACAACTTTCATGACTTTATAGTGTATATATCGAGTGTTTCAAAGCAATAACTTTTTTTGTTCTGACAGTAACAAAAGGATATCTTTTTATAGATTCAGGACTGTGGAGGTATGCCACTGGAAGAACAACCTGGAAAAGTCTGCGAAGCATTCCGTCTGTTCCTACAGGGAATGGGATATGGTAAAACATTTCTTCACTACTTGAATATTCTCATTCACTACTTGAATATTCTTATTCACTACTTGAATATTCTTATTCACTTCTTGAATATTATTACCCAGTATTGAAATCAAAGATATGTGAATCTTATTTATTTGCAGTAGAACATCTATCTCTGTTTTATATCTTCTGCAACAGTTGATTAATACTCTTTATTAATGTATTTTCATGTTTTTGATAGTTCCTACACTGCGTCAAAAAACCAGCACCGTGTCACAAGTACAGAAGAACTACCAACACCAGCTGCAGGATTTTAAAGAAATGAACACTGTATGTTGATCTGATAGATTACCATGCCAGATACACTGGATACGCAAACTACAAAAAGACTCCGAACCTTCAACTCCGGATAACACACAGCATTTGTACTGCAATATTCACTTCTTTTTTTGACGTAGTTGTAGATTTGTGGACAATACTTCGTTGTCTGTAGCTGGACGGCCATAAAATACCAAAGCTTCATCGTTTAAAGTGCAATGCTTCAATGTGTTCCTCTTACACCCATAAATCACATCGTCAGGAAAAAAAAGGAAGTGGCATTCTATGTGTAAATAAATACTGAAATCTGTGATTGAATGTGAGTGTATGCTGTAAAAACATAGGTAAAAACCAGAATGAGTATGTCAAACATTCTTAGAATCTCATCTTAACAGATCGTAAATGTTGTAAAGTACAATTCATAAATTTCTCAGCATTGTAGATTTGTGACTAAATGTTCAAAGGAAGACTTTTTAAAGCCAAATTTTTATCCCGTCAATGTTCATGCTTCATCATTTTTTTGAAATTTTTTTTATTATCACAAACCAAATTTGAAACTGTACAATGTACAACTGTACATGTGTATCACTGTTTCTCGGTTTTTTCCCCCCTCAAACATCAATGCTTGTACATAATGTTGTTAAGACTTTTGCATTCAGTGTTTTGTTCGAATGATATTTATTGTTAGATATTTGTTTTATACTATAGTTTTAGTACATACATGTATATTTGTTATATTCTTCCTTCTTGTTGTATTATAATGTATATAAAAAATGAATTTAACTGATTTTGCTTTACTATTTGTAATAAATCATGAAAGGAGAGTTTGTGGACATTTCTATTTTAGTAGTCACAAAGTAATATTTCCATTTATATTTTTTTTTCCTTCTGTGATAACTCTCTGAAAGTTAGTTGAGTTGATTTCTTGATAATTCTACCGAAATGTAAATTTCGCCACGCGATAGGTCAGGAGCTAAGGAGACCTAATATGCATGTAAATCTCGTGCGGCTGTCTTTGTGTTTGACGTCAGTGGGTGGGGACTATTGAAATTGACATGGGAAGCCTTGTGTAATTTAAATCTATTAGACTACATTTTTAAAATCTAAATTTACAATTTTATTTCACATTGAAATGGAAATATAAGGAATCACTGTCTAGTTAGTAGAGTATGCCAGGGACATCAACGATAGTTGGAAACGTGGGATAATTTATGCATAACGGGCTTTGCCTGTTATGCAAATTATCCCACATTTCCAACTATCGTTGATGCCCTGGCATACTCTACTAACTAAACAGTGATTCCTTAAATAGCATCTGTTTGTAATTTGTTTACTTTGTTTTAATGTGACAATCTTGTTAAAAGTAAGAATTTTTATGTGCTTAGCAAACAGGGAGCCCAGTCCTACTTTGTGTTGATAATACAGTGGAGTTATGGATTGCACGTATATGTATTCATATACTGCGGAATCATTAAAATTTGTGGGGGTCAATTTTCATGGATTGCTTAAATTTTACAGGTTTGTGAGGACGTAATTTTGTGTATTCTCCTATACCTACAAAAGGAAATACGACTTTGTAGCCCTTTTTGATTAATTTGTGGATGATGTAAATTGGTGGATGAGAGGTATCCACAAAAATTGGACCACCACAAAATCTAATGATTCCACAGTACATGTAAATTAGTTTCCCTTTACCTGTAAGTTCTTTTGAATTCTCTCTCTCTCTCTCTCCAAAAACTAGGATTGCATTTACTGCTGAATATATTACTTAAACAATTGAAGTTCTGTTGGAACAGTGCTCACAAGATAAATAACAAATCTAATGTAGTATCAAACGTTAAGATATAGCAATTTGAAATATTAATCTGCGGACTAGAAACACCAGGGAAACAATTTTATTTGGTTTGTACATGTATAACAGAACCTTGAAAAAAGTCAAAAAAGTGTTTAAAAAATACAAATTTGCTGCTGCATAAAATATAGGTCAGATGCAGCATCAGAAGCATGGCTCCAAACAAGGCTCTACGTATGCTCTGGACAAAGTGATACAATGGAACATACCTTCTGGGCATGTTAAACTTGTTTGGTATGTATATAAGTAAAGCTTGTAAATTGTTACTTTCATTAAGGAGGCTGGGGGGGTCAACAAATTAACCACCAGATTTAACTTAATTTTTTAGATAGGATATCTTAAGCTGTCAACTATCATTTGGCAAAGAAAAATTTCAAAAATTTTAGTTTTAAAATTTGATCATTTTCTATATCTTCATATGGAGCTCTTCTTCTAAAGGAGATCAATATAGTCTAAAAATGGCCACAACCCCCTAGTCTCTTTAAATACTTTTGAATATTTGTAATTGCTGGTGTTTTGTTAGTTATTATAACATGTTATAATGGCAACAAAATCTCATAGCCACATCACATGGCGCTTGACATCTGTACTTTTTACTAACATTATTGTCATTGTGTTAAGTTAACAGTGAAAGAAAGGCAAACAAAATTTTTATAAAGTTTCTATGAAGTACACATTATGCATACCTCTATATACATCTACTTTGATTCAGATGTAGGTTGATACATGTGTAGTATTTGTTAGGAAGAATGTAAGTAGTAAGTCTTCATGGAGTAGGAGTGGCATTTAATTAAAAATGCAAAAGTTGTCAAATAATACAAAAAGAAATTTATATATTAAATCCCTCAAAGTATTATCCGTTAACCAAGTCTCTTTACCCAGGTCCAGTACGCTTCAGCGTTTTTTTTTTCTTAAGTGATGCTCAAAATCTCTGATGGATGGCACTCCTCATGCAGATCTGGTACCGTGGCAGGCACGTGCACTAAGTCGGGTAATGTCATAATGTATGAATTGATTGTGAAAGTAATTGCAACCTAGCTTACCTACCCCACCCGGTCGCATACAAATTAAAATTGAACAAATTCTAAATTTGGTAGTCTAGTGGACAATATGTACAGCAGCGTTATAGTGTAAATGAAACACCAAGAACACCCCCCCCCCCCAAAAAAAAAACGCTGAGGCCGGTAAACTTTACAGAAGCGTATTAATGCCATGTAAATTTTTTTCAGTTGCTAATTCCAACTTTAATCTTGGCTTTTCCAACTTTAAAGTTGGCTTTTTCCGACTTTAAAGTTGGTCATTCCAACTTTAAAGTTGGTCATTCCAACTTTAAAATTGGTAATTCCAACTTAAAAATTGGTAATTCCAACTTTAAAGTTGGCTTTTCCAACTTTAAAGTTGGTAATTCTAACTTTTCCAACTTTAAAATTGGTAATTCTAACTTTTCCAACTTTAATGTTGGTTTTCCAAATTAAACTTTGGAAATTCCAACTTTAATTTTGACTTTTCCAACATTAAAGTTGGTAATTCCAACTTTTATCTTGGCTTTTCCAACTTAAAAATTTGCTTTTTCCAACATTGTTCTTGGCTTTTCCAACTTAAAAGTTGGCTTTTCTAACTTTAAAGTTGGTAATTCTAACTTTAACCTTGGCTTTTCTAACTTTAAAAATGGCTTTTTTAACTTTAAAGTTGGCTTTTCCAACTTTAAAGTTGGTAATTCTAACTTTTATCTTGGCTTTTCCAACTTAAACGTTGGTAATTTCAACTTTAAAGTTGGCTTTTCTTGGCTCTCCCAACTTTAATGTTGGTAATTCTAACTTTATGGTATTTCCACCCTCCCGTGATGTCATAGGTTTTTGCAGAAACTGTTATTAATATAAATTCATACCACATATATAGAAATATATCTTTTAGAAGAACGCTTTTCAATGGGTGTAATAACAAATATTGTTTAGTAAAAGAATTTAAAAATTGAATATTTTCTTTATTTAATCAATTATTCAATCTTTAAAAATGTTGCTAAGGGCAATAACTCCTTCTCATGTATCTATATTCAGGCATTTTACTTATTGTACTTCTAATGTAAAATGGTTTCCCTGATATTTACAATTCAAAAGCATTTATAAAAAAGCAATTATTTTGGAACTTTGGAACACAGTTATGTATTTGATCCAGTTTTTACATTATTTTTATAATACTGCTGACTAAAAATGTACAATTTTTTAATGCTGACATATGCTTCTGTTTATTTATGTCTTACATCTTAAAAACATGGCAACCTATATATTTTTTGCGATTATTTATTAATTTAAACTGGATTCAGTAAAAATAAATGCAGTTTTTCTACTTTGAACCCATACAATTGGATGGAAATACCTTAATCTTGGCTTTTCCAACTTTAGAGTTGGTAATTCCAACTTTTAAGTTGGAATTACCAACTTTTTCCAACTTTTAAGTTGGCTTTTACAACTGTAAAGTTGGTTATTTTCACTTTAAAGTTGGCTTTTATAACTTTAAAGTTGGTAATTCCAACTTTAAGGTTTGTAATTCCAAATTTAAAATTGGCTTTTCCAACTTTAATCTTGGCTTTTCCAACCTTAAAGTTGGTAATTCCAACTTTAAAGTTGGCTTTTCCATTTAATTTGGAATTACCAACTTAAAGGACATACGCAACGTGGTTTGAACTTTATTGTCTTTTTCACTGGAATTGAAGAGTTCCAATACTTCAGGGAACTGTGTGCTGCATTGAAATGCTTATATATATTGCTGTACACTTTCCCTAAAACAAGTTTGGATAAACAAAACATTTAGAATATATGTTTAGTAATTTTTGTATATTTTTCTTTGAATTATACAAGCATTTTCATCAATTAATACCTTTTCAAAACTCCTGGTACTGCATACTGATTTTTTGTCTACAAACATCTGATGGCACTATAATCTTAAATTAAGAATATCTTGAAAAAATATCAGTAGGTAAGGTATGTTGCCTATGTCCTTAAAGTTAGAAATTCCAACTTCAAAGTTGGAATTACCAACTTTAAAAAATGTTATATGGTACTAATACGCTTTTCTTAATTAATACATTTATTTTCCGATGGCGAAAGAATTTATGAGCATAACATCAGACTCAATGCTGAGCTGTAGAACTGTCACCATTTTCCAAGTTTACAAATTCAACATCTGGACAAATCATCTAAAAATTAAGCTTACAAATGCATCAACATGGATGTGCTAAATATTATAAACTGTAAACCATCAGTTATTTTTCTTCATAGAGACAAAAGAATAAATACCAGTTTTGTAGAATACCTTCCCTTTCTAGATTCGTCCAGTTATCCATGCATAGCTCTTCTTGAATGTGTAATAATATGACTAGTAGAATTTAACACTGGACGTTATTTTATTATGCGAATGATCTGAAGAGAAAAGAAAGAAGGAAGGAAAAGAAACAAAGGTATTTAATAGGGAAGTATTAAAGTAGACCTAATTAAAGTTAAAATTTAACTTGTATTAGAACTTAAGAAAGTTTGAGGTTGTACGTGTTTGCCATATAGCTGTTGAAGAAAATAGAAGGGACTTAAAAAAAGTCCACATCACGTCATAATACAAACAAATCATGATCATTGTCAAAAGACTCAGCTAAAAAAGAAAATAATATAATTTTGCCATATGTTATAGTTTTCGGGAGGGGGGGGGGTCCAATGTAATGGTTTTTCCCTCAAAGTCAGACGTTTTATAATGTCAGTTTAAATAATTCATACAATAAGAAGGCAGGTAAAAATATTTATGTCTGATAGAAAATCCCTTACATGACAAGAGATTCTTTTTTTTTCAAATTTCACTAAAGCAAAAATTTACTTCTATTGTGAGGAAAAATATGCTTTTTGTGTAACTGATGAATACGGGTTTTTGTATGAAATTGATTCGACTATTATTATCCAGATTTGTCCGTATCCGGTTTTAGCAGTTACTCACTTGTTATTGAATTTTCCGAGGATTGCTTACGATGTTCAATGAAAAATGTGTTTAAATGTCCATCATTTACCATGAACAAGACTGGAGGATACAAAATGAAGTATTTTACAGACCAGATGTAACTAATGAGGTATTTTTTCTGTTTTTCTCTCTCTCTCTCAAACACGGTAACTGTTATGTAATGTGGATGTATACAAACACACTGTTTACGTTTGTTTGTGGGTTGACATCCACTGTTCCAGAGATAATAGGACAATCAGATGCTTTCTATATAGAGAAGAATAATGGCCTTTAAAAGTTTTAAGGAGTAAAATAAAAACATGTAAACAAACAGGGAGAATCCAAACGTTTGACGGGGATTTCTGAAGTAAATGAATGAATCCTTACTTACAGAAATTCAGACCAGTGCATGTGTAGTTGTAGTACTATAAGTTTCTTCAAGTGGAACCTTATGTTAAAGTTTATATCATCATCTGATCTGTAAGGCACACAATGATTTACTCAAAAGAGAGGGAGGGCTCTACATCAACCTATGTGCAGGTAAACTTGAAGTATCTTGACATTGGGTATAAATAAAATTTACTTAATTGACTTGACTTGACTTAATCGTCAGGACTATCGGAAAATGTTGACATATCCTGGGTGTTGAGATTTCAGATTTGAGACTGAATGTACAATATTTCATTGCATAAGCAAAACAATGACTAGGCCAATTAAGTTTAATACGTACATGAATTCAACATTTAGTAATTTGTATTATTTTTAGCAATTCTTTTTGCTATTTATTACAAAATCTTAGAAGTAATTAAAAAATAATGTGTCTTTATATTGATAAAATGTGTTCTTTCTCCATATCAAAAGCTTTCTAAGTTTACGGAATGTTTTCCATCAGATATTCCGCATCTAATGTTGCTTTTTGTCAGAGCAGGACATGAAATGCACATTTAATAAATGTGGATCCATACAAAATCGACACTCGAGAGATGGAAGAAAACCCCAAAACAAAACAAGTGCATATTTTTTCTTATTTTATTTCAGTAAGAAAACCCATAGAAAACAAAATTTTAAAACATTTTTGTACTTACGTCCGAGGGTGCTTGGGCTTCATTTACAAAAAAGATATAGTAATTACCGTCCTTTTGGATTAGAAAAAGCACTCTGACAAGTACAATGTGATGTTCTTCAGAATAAAGGACTGAATACCTGTCATGCGTTAATGTCAAGGGATGGGGGTTGTCAGGGGGCTGGTAATTTTAATTCCCACTGGCCTGATAAGGTTTTAAAGAGCATTCAAAGGGCCCAAAATTCTGAATTTAGGTCTGTTCCATTTTGATTTCTGATCTCTCTTCCTGTTACATTTGATACCATGACTAAATTGCCTTGAAATTGACCAAAAAAAACCCCCAACTTTCATGATGGTTTCTGTAGGGACTGTGAGGAAGTCCAAGTTTCCAGAATCCAGGTGAAATTAATAACAATAATAATAACTAGATGCAATCTTGTTGCAAAACAACAAGTAGGTCTTCCGTTCGATTTCTGATGAATAAGGGTCTTCGATAGGTGAAAAAGCGACAGTTCTTGAGAGAAATGTCACCTAAAACCTTTTCAATATATTTAGAAACAAATCAGACACGAGTTCTTTTATTTTCTAAATAGCTTACAGTTCTTTTAGAGTGATTCATTTTGAACTGTGTCCTGCGTAAATTACACATCAATGTTGCTCAGGAGGCATTGTTTCAATAAATGTGCATCCCAGTGGACGCGATAAATTTATAAAAGACATATATTGTTTTAAATTATTTCGGTACAATCTGATTCAAAACTTGGTTGATTGCATCATATCCACATGCTAAGTGATAGGCAAGAACGATTTTGACAGGTATGAGGTTACCAACAATAGGGCAGATTTCACACTTCACTGTTAAATTGCAGTTAACAAGCAATTATCAGAAAATATTTGAGAGATAAAGATAGATAGCATAGTTCGATTATGTCTACTGTAGAACATTTCTGAACCGTATACATTTGTATTTGTATTTTTAAATTAAATTAATTTCTGATTCTTTTTTTTTTTTAAACTTTCTCTACTTTATTAGCTGGTCTGCTTCTGTGTATTTTATGACTGATACTATGTGCGAGATCTAAAAATAGAACCAAGGTGCACAGTTGACAATATATTATTTTCATGCCACAAAATCATATTCTTATTTCCAATTGATAGTATAAACCACTCACAGTTACAGTAGAAAATTTGCACTTTCATAAAATACCCTTTTTATATTTCACCAAAATTTCCTTTGTAATATCTAATAAACGATACCCTTTGATTTGGACGCATTGATTTTGGCATGGGACTCATTGCTGTCATTAAAAGGGGTCCTTTGGACCCGTGATAACCATTTTCAAAATGAATCGGTTGTGACGGAAAGTGCTTTAAACACACATATTGCACATTTAGCATGTATGAACCATCCCTGAAAGTTTCTATGAAAAATACTTAATTTTAGGCTACTTCCAGTTTTTGTGAACTGCACTTCCGGTGAAAATTATATGATTTTAAACATTTGTCAAGACTCTATCATGAACACCTACATTTGTGTTAAAAAATGGGGAAAAAACTTAAAAATTCAATATTTTAAAACTGCTTCTGGTGGCAGCGAAAGTGATACTTGAAAAATTGAAACCCATATGTCACATCTAGAAGTTAAGATCTATTAATCCTAAAAGCTTCATTGCCGAATCTTTAACTGTTTTTGAGAAAACCTCTGGATAAAATTGCATTTTAAAATCAGTAAATCGGCCATATCTCGCGACCAGAAGTGACTTTAGCAAAATGACAAAAACTGACTCAAATTCATTTCATATACCATAATTTCTGTAAGTGTCATGAAAATCCATCAAGGCGTTCTCGAGAAATGGTCTGCACAAAATTGGTAGGAAAAATGATAATAATAGTGCAAAAGAAACAACAGAATAATAATAAAGTCTTCCGTTGAAGACAGAAGACCTTAATAATATCTAGATTACCATATATGTCCATGTGGGGGATATAACTCCCATTAGCACAATTCTAATTTAATTCATGTTTTTGTTATTTGCCATGAAGTAAATCAGTAATTTCATGATTGCTGCGTTAATTTCATTTTTAGATAAATAAATCATAAATTTCATATGTTTTACCATTTTTTTTCACACATAATTATGCACTTACCAATAATATACCATTGGCAAGTCTGTAATTAAATAACATGTCATCAACATCCAAGAATGCTTAGGATTCGTTTACAGGTGTGTTTACATGATTATCGACTTAAATAAAAGTTTGTAATACAACTGTTTATGGATTTTTAGACATGAGCATCATAATCCACACTTAAATATTAATCATCTGACAACATGTTTATTAGAATGAAAAATTAATTGACATGATGTTGACATAAACCAGGTCAAAACATGTATTCCTACTGGAACAGTGAGTATAGATCAAAATTAATGGATTATTTGTGTTTTTATAAAGTACCAGTATTTATATGTTATACTTGTAGTTACTGTAACTACATGTACTTTCAAAATCACAGATCTATGTATTCATTGACATGTCAAATTCACCTAAATGGCAATTTTCACAAATTGCATAGATTCAATTTAACACAGTTCAAATTACATTGTTACTTACATAAAAAAATGCATAATCTATCCTTGAATTTCTTCATCAATGGCATGGGACGGTTTTAGCTCACCTCGGAGAATTTAGAGGAACTTACTTATTAATAATACCCTTGGCGTCATTGTTGGCGTCCCAGGTTCAACTTTTTGGAGCAGATTCTATGCTGTATGTTGATCAGAGATGCATGGGTGATACATTTAGTATGTTTTATTGTACCCATCAGATTTCATTTTAGCCAAAGAATAATCAGGTTGTTTTTGGAGAAGGTTAAAGTTTTTGGAGCAGGTCTCATTCCCAAGTAACTATAAGCCCTATGGTGACCAGACTTGCAGGGATGATACATCTAGGGATGCACACTACCAGAGTTGCTTTGGATGCTGGATCAGACATATGTTTCCTGGATGAGTGAATTCTAAGGTGAAAGTTTTTGTTGTTCATTCTTAAGGATCTATAAATCCCATTGTGACCAATCTTGCATGGATGATTATCTAGGAATGCACACTACCAGACTTGCTTCTAATGCTGATTCTGACCTACATTTTATGGATGAGTTATTAGGTTAAAGTTTTTGGAGCAGGTTCATTCTTATAGGTAACTTTATGTCTTATGGTGACAAAACTTACTTGGATGATGCATCTTAGTAGAGGTGCACACTACAAGTCTAGCTCAGATGCTGGATTTGACTTCATTTTCCAGATGAATGACCAGATAAAATTATTGGGTAGGTCTCATTCTTAAGTAACAAGAAGCCCTATTGTGACCAAACTTGCATAGATCCATACATCTATGGATACCTACCAGGCATGTTTCAGATGCTGGATCTGATCTACATTTTACAGAAGAGTGATTAGATTAAAGTTTTGGAGCAGTTCATTCTTAAGTAACTCAATCCCTATGGATGATACATCTGGGGATGTATGCTACCCAACTAGCTTCGGATGCTGGATCTGACCTACGTTTTCCAGATTAGTGACCACTGGCAGGTTAAAGTTTTTGGAGCAGATCGATTCATTCTTAAGTAACTAAGTCCTACCTCGACCAAACTTAATCTATGCTGCATCTAGGGATACTTGCTTCAGTTGCTGGATTGCTGGATTTTCAAGATGAGTGACCCAATGTTAAATTTTTTAGAGCAGGTCCACTTAACTAAAAATCTTATGGTGACTTAAGTTGCATGGATGATGCATCGAGTCACATTCTCAGGAAAAATTATATACTATTAAGGAATGATCTTAAACAGCAAAGAAAGAAATCTCACTACCTGTATATACATTATGATTTGTGTGCGTAGCATTATCCAATTGTTAAAAAAAATCATGTGTTAATAAAGACATTTGCTCAACAGAAAATATGATTACAAAATTATACTTAAGAACTTGAATAGAATTTATTTATACACAACTGCAAATGAGTGGAAAAAGTCACGACATTTGTAAGAGGTATGTTTTAGTAATGATGTTGTT